ATGTCTCAACTGCCCCCACATCTGCTGCTCCAATCTGCCAGGTTGACATACCTAATCTCCACTGGTCTTCATCAGGTCCCCACCCCAATCTGCTTCTGATGCTATACTAAGCTGTTCTCCTTGCAGGTTAAGACTTTTTCGAATCACACCGGATTACTTTCATGCAGCAACAGCACCAGTGTTGCCTTCTCCACTCTGTCTGTTGGCTCTAACAATGACTTGAGAATGCTGTGCACGCAAACGTGTGCGTGATGAGTGTCTTCGCCATGATTATTGTCAATGTGGCCAGATTGATTTACCTACCTACCTACATATACCCATGGGCCATGACGCCATGTGCAATCATCTCTGACAGTTTGAATAAGGCTGGCCTGGCTTTGATGTAAACAGTCCTGTATTTGCCCGTGCCTGACACCAGTGGCAGCTAATGTTACACTTGCACTGGAACACACCAATACTTTCATTGTATAGTCTTCCTTGCTACATTCTGATAAATAATCTGAAAGCAACTAAGTACCAGAGAACTAAACACTACGCACCAACAGCCTCTTGTGCATCCTGCCCATTGCTGGAACTCCTACCGCTACCCTGTTTAAGGTCATGGTGGTGGTGATGGTGGTGATGATGCTGCTGATGATGATGCCGCACCACAAGAACTGGTGCTGGGGAATGATGTGCACAGTAGTGACTCACACTGCCAAGCATCATTCTGCAGTGTCAAGGGACATTGGAAAACATGAAGCAAAATGAGTTAAACATGACTCCCTCTCGTATCCCACTGGTACCTCTTGCACGCAATCTCTCGTTCTCAATGCATTACCACACTATGCTTACCCCGTCATGTCATCCTTAGCACTTAATGTTGAATTCTCATCCCACGTTCACTTTCTCAAGGCCATGCCCCCTCCCTAAGGTTGCTGTCAGACGTCCAGAGCTACTAACCCTTTACCACACCGACACAAGCAGCAAATCACTATGCTGTGAGCTTACATACCCAACCTCTCACCCAAAACCCCATCAAGCCTCCATACCTCTTCATGGCTCCTCTAGCTCTGCTGCCCATCACCACAGCATCCACGTGGAAGTGTTGCGCCACATCGCAGATGACGTGGCGGGCATCCCCAAGTTCCACGTGGCCCTCACACGCCAGTCCTCGCTCTGCCAGCTCCCTGACCACTCCCTGCAGCTTTACATGTGCCTCGTCTTTCCGTGCTTTTGCTGCTTGCGCCAAGTCATCACTGCTGACATGCAGGCCTGACAGGTGGCATGGAATGTGGTTCAATGGAGCAGTAAGACGATAAGTAGATAGGTAAAATGCGTTGAATATTTTAAATGCGCTTCAGAAGGGGAAGGCGAATGGAACGGGACGGGAGAGATGAGGAGGGGAGGGGGAAGGGATGGTGGAGGAAAGGGGGTGGGTAGAGGGGTTAGGAGCATGGTTGACGTGCAATGGCTTGTGTGAATTCATTCTGCGGAGAAACGGGAGGCGTGTGTGACTTTTAACCCTCTTTGTAATATGCCGTTAAGGATTAGCTTTCAAGCGACGCAAGCGTCCCACTCTATTGTGCATTTTGAGAAGGGAATTGTGGCAATCTCGGGAAACGGGGGGGACGCACCTGGTAGATTAATCATGGAGGGAAATGGCGATATCGCGCCGCCGGACACGGACGCGGGGCCGCCTACCCCGGGCATGAAAGGCGAGAGCACGTGCAGCAGGAACACGTAGTCTCGCGTCGGCTCCAGAAACCGATCCAGCGCCCACGTCAGCACCTCGTGGCTCGCTGACGTGTCGTCTAGAGGAATCAGAACCTTGCGCAATTTGGGGGGGTCAATGGCTTCAGCGGCGGGCGCCGTGTCAGGCGCCGCATTCGGCGGAGAATGAGGAACGGCAACGGGTGTCTCAGCCAGAGGCTCTGGGATAATCTCGGGGGTTGCTGACGTACTGACGTTCGCTGGCGGCGCGGCGGGGGCGTCGGCTACGGTGATTTCTGCGGTTGGAGTAGCTTCCGCGGCGGCAACGCTCGGGGATGGCGCGTCAGCGGGAGGCAGGTCAACGGATGGCGCGTCAGCCGAAGGCGCGGCATCGGCGGAGGGCGCGTACGTCGGCGCGTCAGCGGAAGGCGGGTCAGCGGAAGGCGCTACATCTGCGGGCGTTTGTTCACTGTTATTAGTCACTGGGTTATCTGCAGCAGCAACAGCGGAATCGGTGGCAGGAGTAGCAGTGGCCTCAGCTGTGCTAGAGTCCATGAGTCGATATATATATATATATATAAATATTAGCTAAGAATAAATAATCAAAACCGAGAATGAGAAAGAAACTACAAGGCTGCGAAGTCGTCTGTCCCTACCAGGAGTGCGTGACAGATATGCCAAGAAGCAGGGAGGTCGGGGCGGAAATGATGGAAAATTGGGAGAATTGTGAGGCATGATTGAAGTTAGATGCCCAATTTCACGTAAAATGTACCTCCCCCCACCGCCGCCTCCCTTCCCTGCTTCTAATCCCCTCCCAATTGCTCGCTAATCTCCCCTCCTGACTGAACCAACTCCCCGAAGCGCGATGTTGCGTGCAGCTCCACAGTGCAAACCGCGTTGATTTCTCGAAACCAAGCGGAGAGCACGATTGGCCAACCACACGCTCGCCACGAGACTCGAAGAGCTGAGTTGGCATGCAATTTCTCCAACACGTAGAGAAAGTCTCCTGCAATCCACGTCAGGACGAGTCAGAATCTGCGTGGATTCGGGTTCTGGGTCATGGCTGACTCGTGGTGCCAATCACACCAGAATGTGTGCTGGCTTGTTCAAAGCTGTTTATTCCACGTGGAATCTCCATCTTGACAACCGCGGAACCGCATCGTCCTCATCATCGGTCTCGAGTGGGTACACAAGAGTTTGGTATAATTTATTGGGTACATCCGTTTCGTTCTTTTACATAGAATGAGTTATGATAAATATAGATAATAGCAGATCACGCAAGCATATCGAGGATACCTCTCAATTTCTGGATGGAAAAAGGCTTTCTCGTGAAGGCATTCCCAAGTTCCCCGTCGCCTGGCATTGCAGCCAACGCCATTAGCGCCAGCAACGCAACCAGCGGCATTATCGTTTGCCACCTAGTTCGATCGAAAGGCCATATTGTGAGAATCGACCGCCTCATCACCACCGTTGACGTACGGTCGTTAGAATCAGCTCGATTCACGCAATTAACACGATCAGCACCATCCATCAGACATGGCGATCTGTCGGGCTCCAGTGCGCGTCCTTCTCGCGTCCCCGCCCGTGCCGCGATTACAGCGCGTCCATACCTCTTTAATAACCTTAGCAACGTTCCGCCAGATCCCACGCGGCTCGGCTCCTCGCAGTCGTCTTTCCGTTACTTACTCTCGGTCGGTGGCTACGCGCTCCTCGCTCGATGCTACTGCCGCTCCGCTAGGAACATCCCCGCTACAAGATGTCCGATCAGCTGATAGTAACGACAGATCGGAAAGCGCCGAGTTGTCGCATCAGTGGCGTCGTTTTGCGTCGCAGCTCGTCGCACACCGGTTTCTGGCTGCACGAGGCGAAGTCGCAGACAGCCAGCCGGCGACAGCGCGGCAGAAGCTTGAAAACGACGTGTCACAGACGCCACAATTAGAGGCGCCCCAAACAGACGACTTTGTCGAAGCCGTTGTATCGGGACAGTCTTCAAACGAGGATGCGCCGCCCGAGCTGATTTCGGAATTTCAATTGGATACGATTCTAGCGGACAAGGGAGAGACGAAGCGCGCCGTTTTGGCCCTGGCGAGAAGCTCGCCGCATCTGTTCAGGTAGAAGCGGGGAAACAGGGAGAGGGTTAAGCGACATAGAGCAATGTTTTAGTGGGGAGAAGGCGTCGCCTTTATGCCAATCAAGGCAGGTTGGACGCGCCGTTTTGGCCCTTGCGAGAAGCTCGCCGCATTTGTTCAGGTAGAAGCGGCAGAAAGGGGAGAGAGAGAGAGAGAGGTGGGGCGGGGGGGGGGGGGGAAGGAGGGAAGAGGGGAGGGAGGGAAGAGGGGAGGGGAGGGAAGAGAGATTGGGACACGGAACAGGGTCTTAGCGTTAGGCATGGTGCAAGCTTTTAGGCGGAGGAGCGGGCAGAAAATCCAGGATTCAGGGTTCGGATTTAAGGATTGAAGTTTAGAGCTTCAACAATTTGAATTACTTGTTGTGAGCGGAATTACGGTTTTAGTCTGAAGCGCCTGTTCAATTCTTGCACCAAGCTGCCCCTTTTCTTTTTCCTCTCCCTATTCATCCGTTTTCACCCAATGTCAGCTCCTTCTCATTGGGCGACGTGCGAGCAATTGTTTCTGCCGGCTGCCCGTCAACTGACCGGAAAGCAGTGAATGCAGCCAAGCGCCTGCGCTCCCTCCTCTCCCTCTCTGAAGCCAAGGTCAGCTCCAACACTCTCCACCTTGCCTTGCACCCTCCGTTGCACTTTCCCTCCCCTCTCTTCCTGCGATTTTTCTTCAGCTCTAACCCTCTCTTCACCCTCCGTATCCTTCCTTTCCCCTGTAGCCACATCCTCCCCTCCCTGCAGCTTTCCTTCCTCCTCTCGCTCGGTTTCTCCTTGCCAGAGGCAAAGATAATCTCCTTCGCACTCTTTTCTCCTTGGGCCTTCATTCCCCCTCTCCTCGCACCCTCCCTTAAACCTCCTCGCACCCTCCACTCTGTGCATCCTCCATTCCCCCTCCCGCTGCACCGTCTGCTCCTCTAACCCTCTCCTTTTCCCGCCTGCAAACTTTGTTACTGTATCCCTCTGCTTCTCAGCAACCCTCCTTTTTTTTTCCTCTGTGCGTTTTTTGCTTTTTTCCGCAGGTCTGCCCTCGCTGCCCGCTGAAGAACACTTGCGCACGGGCAGGGAAGGAGATTGCACCACAGGAGAGCTATTCCTTTGTGCTGCCCGCAGCAGCACCTACTACTGATAGCACCAGAGATGTAACGGACACTGCTAGCGCCACGTCTGACGTGCTGCGGCTGGCAATGGGCTATGCCCTGCTGACAGAAGCTGAAGCTGCCGCTGCTGCTGCTGCTTCTGCTGCTGGTGGTGCTTCTGCTGCTGGTTCTGCTGCAACGTCGTACCGCCGAAAGCCTGTGTCTGCGGCAGCAGCAGCAGCATCGTCATCGTCAGCTCGCATTCTGTTTGTGGCAGGCGAGGAAGTGCCGCATGCAGCTATCAGGTAAACCCAAAAAGCATGGCGTGTGGTATGGCACATGACAGGTGAGAGGCATGACAGGTGAGAGGCATGACAGGTGAGAGGCATGACAGGTGAGAGGCATGACAGGTGAGAGGCATGACAGGTGAGAGGCATGACAGGTGAGAGGCATGACAGGTGAGAGGCATGACAGGTGAGAGGCATGACAGGTGAGAGGCATGGCAGGTGAGAGGCATGGCAGGTGAGAGGCATGACAGGTGAGAGGCATGACAGGTGAGAGGCATGACAGGTGAGAGGCATGACAGGTGAGAGGCATGACAGGTGAGAGGCATGACAGGTGAGAGGCATGACAGGTGAGAGGCATGACAGGTGAGAGGCATGACAGGTGAGAGGCATGGCAGGTGAGAGGCATGGCAGGTGAGAGGCATGACAGGTGAGAGGCATGACAGGTGAGAGGCATGGCAGGTGAGAGGCATGACAGGTGAGAGGCATGACAGGTGAGAGGCATGACAGGTGAGAGGCATGACAGGTGAGAGGCATGACAGGTGAGAGGCATGACAGGTGAGAGGCATGACAGGTGAGAGGCATGACAGGTGAGAGGCATGACAGGTGAGAGGCATGACAGGTGAGAGGCATGACAGGTGAGAGGCATGACAGGTGAGAGGCATGACAGGTGAGAGGCATGACAGGTGAGAGGCATGACAGGTGAGAGGCATGACAGGTGAGAGGCATGACAGGTGAGAGGCATGGCAGGTGAGAGGCATGGCAGGTGAGAGGCATGACAGGTGAGAGGCATGACAGGTGAGAGGCATGACAGGTGAGAGGCATGACAGGTGAGAGGCATGACAGGTGAGAGGCATGACAGGTGAGAGGCATGACAGGTGAGAGGCATGACAGGTGAGAGGCATGACAGGTGAGAGGCATGACAGGTGAGAGGCATGACAGGTGAGAGGCATGACAGGTGAGAGGCATGACAGGTGAGAGGCATGACAGGTGAGAGGCATGGACAGGTGAGAGGCATGGCAGGTGAGAGGCATGGCAGGTGAGAGGCATGACAGGTGAGAGGCATGACAGGTGAGAGGCATGACAGGTGAGAGGCATGACAGGTGAGAGGCATGACAGGTGAGAGGCATGACAGGTGAGAGGCATGACAGGTGAGAGGCATGACAGGTGAGAGGCATGACAGGTGAGAGGCATGACAGGTGAGAGGCATGACAGGTGAGAGGCATGACAGGTGAGAGGCATGACAGGTGAGAGGCATGGACAGGTGAGAGGCATGGCAGGTGAGAGGCATGGCAGGTGAGAGGCATGACAGGTGAGAGGCATGACAGGTGAGAGGCATGACAGGTGAGAGGCATGACAGGTGAGAGGCATGACAGGTGAGAGGCATGACAGGTGAGAGGCATGACAGGTGAGAGGCATGACAGGTGAGAGGCATGACAGGTGAGAGGCATGACAGGTGAGAGGCATGACAGGTGAGAGGCATGACAGGTGAGAGGCATGACAGGTGAGAGGCATGACAGGTGAGAGGCATGACAGGTGAGAGGCATGACAGGTGAGAGGCATGACAGGTGAGAGGCATGACAGGTGAGAGGCATGACAGGTGAGAGGCATGACAGGTGAGAGGCATGACAGGTGAGAGGCATGACAGGTGAGAGGCATGGCAGGTGAGAGGCATGGCAGGTGAGAGGCATGGCAGGTGAGAGGCATGACAGGTGAGAGGCATGACAGGTGAGAGGCATGACAGGTGAGAGGCATGACAGGTGAGAGGCATGACAGGTGAGAGGCATGACAGGTGAGAGGCATGACAGGTGAGAGGCATGACAGGTGAGAGGCATGACAGGTGAGAGGCATGACAGGTGAGAGGCATGACAGGTGAGAGGCATGCAGGTGAGAGGCATGGCAGGTGAGAGGCATGGCAGGTGAGAGGCATGGCAGGTGAGAGGCATGGCAGGTGAGAGGCATGGCAGGTGAGAGGCATGACAGGTGAGAGGCATGACAGGTGAGAGGCATGGCAGGTGAGAGGCATGGCAGGTGAGAGGCATGGCAGGTGAGAGGCATGGCAGGTGAGAGGCATGGCAGGTGAGAGGCATGACAGGTGAGAGGCATGACAGGTGAGAGGCATGGCAGGTGAGAGGCATGACAGGTGAGAGGCATGACAGGTGAGAGGCATGACAGGTGAGAGGCATGACAGGTGAGAGGCATGACAGGTGAGAGGCATGACAGGTGAGAGGCATGACAGGTGAGAGGCATGACAGGTGAGAGGCATGACAGGTGAGAGGCATGACAGGTGAGAGGCATGACAGGTGAGAGGCATGACAGGTGAGAGGCATGACAGGTGAGAGGCATGACAGGTGAGAGGCCATGACAGGTGAGAGGCATGACAGGTGAGAGGCATGACAGGTGAGAGGCATGACAGGTGAGAGGCATGACAGGTGAGAGGCATGACAGGTGAGAGGCATGACAGGTGAGAGGCATGACAGGTGAGAGGCATGACAGGTGAGAGGCATGACAGGTGAGAGGCATGACAGGTGAGAGGCATGACAGGTGAGAGGCATGACAGGTGAGAGGCATGACAGGTGAGAGGCATGACAGGTGAGAGGCATGACAGGTGAGAGGCATGACAGGTGAGAGGCATGACAGGTGAGAGGCATGGCAGGTGAGAGGCATGGCAGGTGAGAGGCATGACAGGTGAGAGGCATGACAGGTGAGAGGCATGACAGGTGAGAGGCATGACAGGTGAGAGGCATGACAGGTGAGAGGCATGACAGGTGAGAGGCATGACAGGTGAGAGGCATGACAGGTGAGAGGCATGACAGGTGAGAGGCATGACAGGTGAGAGGCATGACAGGTGAGAGGCATGACAGGTGAGAGGCATGACAGGTGAGAGGCATGGCAGGTGAGAGGCATGGCAGGGCAGGTGAGAGGCATGGCAGGTGAGAGGCATGACAGGTGAGAGGCATGACAGGTGAGAGGCATGACAGGTGAGAGGCATGACAGGTGAGAGGCATGACAGGTGAGAGGCATGACAGGTGAGAGGCATGACAGGTGAGAGGCATGACAGGTGAGAGGCATGACAGGTGAGAGGCATGACAGGTGAGAGGCATGACAGGTGAGAGGCATGACAGGTGAGAGGCATGACAGGTGAGAGGCATGACAGGTGAGAGGCATGACAGGTGAGAGGCATGACAGGTGAGAGGCATGACAGGTGAGAGGCATGACAGGTGAGAGGCATGACAGGTGAGAGGCATGACAGGTGAGAGGCATGACAGGTGAGAGGCATGACAGGTGAGAGGCATGGCAGGTGAGAGGCATGGCAGGTGAGAGGCATGGCAGGTGAGAGGCATGACAGGTGAGAGGCATGACAGGTGAGAGGCATGACAGGTGAGAGGCATGACAGGTGAGAGGCATGACAGGTGAGAGGCATGACAGGTGAGAGGCATGACAGGTGAGAGGCATGACAGGTGAGAGGCATGACAGGTGAGAGGCATGACAGGTGAGAGGCATGGCAGGTGAGAGGCATGGCAGGTGAGAGGCATGGCAGGTGAGAGGCATGGCAGGTGAGAGGCATGGCAGGTGAGAGGCATGGCAGGTGAGAGGCATGACAGGTGAGAGGCATGGCAGGTGAGAGGCATGGCAGGTGAGAGGCATGGCAGGTGAGAGGCATGGCAGGTGAGAGGCATGGCAGGTGAGAGGCATGGCAGGTGAGAGGCATGACAGGTGAGAGGCATGACAGGTGAGAGGCATGACAGGTGAGAGGCATGACAGGTGAGAGGCATGACAGGTGAGAGGCATGACAGGTGAGAGGCATGACAGGTGAGAGGCATGACAGGTGAGAGGCATGACAGGTGAGAGGCATGACAGGTGAGAGGCATGACAGGTGAGAGGCATGACAGGTGAGAGGCATGACAGGTGAGAGGCATGACAGGTGAGAGGCATGACAGGTGAGAGGCATGACAGGTGAGAGGCATGACAGGTGAGAGGCATGACAGGTGAGAGGCATGACAGGTGAGAGGGCATGACAGGTGAGAGGCATGACAGGTGAGAGGCATGACAGGTGAGAGGCATGACAGGTGAGAGGCATGACAGGTGAGAGGCATGACAGGTGAGAGGCATGACAGGTGAGAGGCATGACAGGTGAGAGGCATGACAGGTGAGAGGCATGACAGGTGAGAGGCATGACAGGTGAGAGGCATGACAGGTGAGAGCATGACAGGTGAGAGGCATGACAGGTGAGAGGCATGACAGGTGAGAGGCATGACAGGTGAGAGGCATGCAGGTGAGAGGCATGACAGGTGAGAGGCATGACAGGTGAGAGGCATGACAGGTGAGAGGCATGACAGGTGAGAGGCATGACAGGTGAGAGGCATGACAGGTGAGAGGCATGACAGGTGAGAGGCATGACAGGTGAGAGGCATGACAGGTGAGAGGCATGACAGGTGAGAGGCATGACAGGTGAGAGGCATGACAGGTGAGAGGCATGACAGGTGAGAGGCATGACAGGTGAGAGGCATGACAGGTGAGAGGCATGACAGGTGAGAGGCATGACAGGTGAGAGGCATGGCAGGTGAGAGGCATGACAGGTGAGAGGCATGACAGGTGAGAGGCATGACAGGTGAGAGGCATGACAGGTGAGAGGCATGACAGGTGAGAGGCATGACAGGTGAGAGGCATGACAGGTGAGAGGCATGACAGGTGAGAGGCATGACAGGTGAGAGGCATGACAGGTGAGAGGCATGACAGGTGAGAGGCATGACAGGTGAGAGGCATGACAGGTGAGAGGCATGACAGGTGAGAGGCATGACAGGTGAGAGGCATGACAGGTGAGAGGCATGACAGGTGAGAGGCATGACAGGTGAGAGGCATGGCAGGTGAGAGGCATGGCAGGTGAGAGGCATGACAGGTGAGAGGCATGACAGGTGAGAGGCATGACAGGTGAGAGGCATGACAGGTGAGAGGCATGACAGGTGAGAGGCATGACAGGTGAGAGGCATGACAGGTGAGAGGCATGACAGGTGAGAGGCATGACAGGTGAGAGGCATGACAGGTGAGAGGCATGACAGGTGAGAGGCATGACAGGTGAGAGGCATGGCAGGTGAGAGGCATGGCAGGTGAGAGGCATGGCAGGTGAGAGGCATGACAGGTGAGAGGCATGACAGGTGAGAGGCATGACAGGTGAGAGGCATGACAGGTGAGAGGCATGACAGGTGAGAGGCATGACAGGTGAGAGGCATGACAGGTGAGAGGCATGACAGGTGAGAGGCATGACAGGTGAGAGGCATGACAGGTGAGAGGCATGACAGGTGAGAGGCATGACAGGTGAGAGGCATGACAGGTGAGAGGCATGACAGGTGAGAGGCATGACAGGTGAGAGGCATGACAGGTGAGAGGCATGACAGGTGAGAGGCATGACATGACAGGTGAGAGGCATGACAGGTGAGAGGCATGACAGGTGAGAGGCATGGCAGGTGAGAGGCATGACAGGTGAGAGGCATGGCAGGTGAGAGGCATGACAGGTGAGAGGCATGACAGGTGAGAGCATGACAGGTGAGAGGCATGACAGGTGAGAGGCATGACAGGTGAGAGGCATGACAGGTGAGAGGCATGACAGGTGAGAGGCATGACAGGTGAGAGGCATGACAGGTGAGAGGCATGACAGGTGAGAGGCATGACAGGTGAGAGGCATGACAGGTGAGAGGCATGACAGGTGAGAGGCATGACAGGTGAGAGGCATGACAGGTGAGAGGCAATGACAGGTGAGAGGCATGACAGGTGAGAGGCATGACAGGTGAGAGGCATGACAGGTGAGAGGCATGACAGGTGAGAGGCATGACAGGTGAGAGGCATGACAGGTGAGAGGCATGACAGGTGAGAGGCATGACAGGTGAGAGGCATGACAGGTGAGAGGCATGACAGGTGAGAGGCATGACAGGTGAGAGGCATGACAGGTGAGAGGCATGACAGGTGAGAGGCATGACAGGTGAGAGGCATGACAGGTGAGAGGCCATGACAGGTGAGAGGCATGACAGGTGAGAGGCATGACAGGTGAGAGGCATGACAGGTGAGAGGCATGACAGGTGAGAGGCATGACAGGTGAGAGGCCATGACAGGTGAGAGGCATGACAGGTGAGAGGCATGACAGGTGAGAGGCATGACAGGTGAGAGGCATGACAGGTGAGAGGCATGACAGGTGAGAGGCATGACAGGTGAGAGGCATGACAGGTGAGAGGCATGACAGGTGAGAGGCATGACAGGTGAGAGGCATGACAGGTGAGAGGCATGACAGGTGAGAGGCATGACAGGTGAGAGGCATGGCAGGTGAGAGGCATGGCAGGTGAGAGGCATGGCAGGTGAGAGGCATGACAGGTGAGAGGCATGACAGGTGAGAGGCATGACAGGTGAGAGGCATGACAGGTGAGAGGCATGACAGGTGAGAGGCATGACAGGTGAGAGGCATGACAGGTGAGAGGCATGACAGGTGAGAGGCATGACAGGTGAGAGGCATGGCAGGTGAGAGGCATGGCAGGTGAGAGGCATGGCAGGTGAGAGGCATGGCAGGTGAGAGGCATGACAGGTGAGAGGCATGACAGGTGAGAGGCATGACAGGTGAGAGGCATGACAGGTGAGAGGCATGACAGGTGAGAGGCATGACAGGTGAGAGGCATGACAGGTGAGAGGCATGACAGGTGAGAGGCATGACAGGTGAGAGGCATGACAGGTGAGAGGCATGACAGGTGAGAGGCATGACAGGTGAGAGGCATGACAGGTGAGAGGCATGACAGGTGAGAGGCATGACAGGTGAGAGGCATGACAGGTGAGAGGCATGACAGGTGAGAGGCATGACAGGTGAGAGGCATGACAGGTGAGAGGCATGACAGGTGAGAGGCATGGCAGGTGAGAGGCATGGCAGGTGAGAGGCATGGCAGGTGAGAGGCATGGCAGGTGAGAGGCATGGCAGGTGAGAGGCATGGCAGGTGAGAGGCATGGCAGGTGAGAGGCATGGCAGGTGAGAGGCATGCAGGTGAGAGGCATGGCAGGTGAGAGGCATGGCAGGTGAGAGGCATGGCAGGTGAGAGGCATGGCAGGTGAGAGGCATGGCAGGTGAGAGGCATGGCAGGTGAGAGGCATGGCAGGTGTAGAGGCATGGCAGGTTGAGAGGCATGGCAGGTGAGAGGCATGGCAGGTGAGAGGCATGGCAGGTGAGAGGCATGGCAGGTGAGAGGCATGGCAGGTGAGAGGCCATGGCAGGTGAGAGGCATGGCAGGTGAGAGGCATGGCAGGTGAGAGGCATGGCAGGTGAGAGGCATGGCAGGTGAGAGGCATGGCAGGTGAGAGGCATGGCAGGTGAGAGGCATGGCAGGTGAGAGGCATGGCAGGTGAGAGGCATGCAGGTGAGAGGCATGGCAGGTGAGAGGCATGGCAGGTGAGAGGCATGCAGTGAGCAGGTGAGAGGCATGGCAGGTGAGAGGCATGGCAGGTGAGAGGCATGGCAGGTGAGAGGCATGGCAGGTGAGAGGCATGGCAGGTGAGAGGCATGGCAGGTGAGAGGCATGGCAGGTGAGAGGCATGGCAGGTGAGAGGCATGGCAGGTGAGAGGCATGGCAGGTGAGAGGCATGGCAGGTTGAGAGGCATGGCAGGTGAGAGGCATGGCAGGTGAGAGGCATGGCAGGTGAGAGGCATGGCAGGTGAGAGGCATGGCAGGTGAGAGGCATGGCAGGTGAGAGGCATGGCAGGTGAGAGGCATGGCAGGTGAGAGGCATGGCAGGTGAGAGGCATGGCAGGTGAGAGGCATGGCAGGTGAGAGGCATGGCAGGTGAGAGGCATGGCAGGTGAGAGGCAGGCAGGTGAGTAGGCATGGAAGGTGAGAGGCATGGCAGGTGAGAGGCATGGCAGGTGAGAGGCATGGCAGGGTGAGAGGCATGGCAGGTGAGAGGCATGGCAGGTGAGAGGCATGGGAGGCAGGCAGGTGAGAGGCATGGCAGGTGAGAGGCATGGCAGGTGAGAGGCATGGCAGGTGAGAGGCATGGCAGGTGAGAGGCATGGCAGGTGAGAGGCATGGCAGGGTTGAGAGGCATGGCAGGTGAGAGGCATGGCAGGTGAGAGGCATGGCAGGTGAGAGGCATGGCAGGTGAGAGGCATGGCAGGTGAGAGGCATGGCAGGTGAGAGGCATGGCAGGTGAGAGGCATGGCAGGTGAGAGGCAATGGCAGGTGAGAGGCATGGCAGGTGAGAGGCATGGCAGGTGAGAGGCATGGCAGGTGAGAGGCATGGCAGGTGAGAGGCATGGCAGGTGAGAGGCATGGCAGGTGAGAGCATGGCAGGTGAGAGGCATGGCAGGTGAGAGGCATGGCAGGTGAGAGGCATGGCAGGTGAGAGGCATGGCAGGTGAGAGGCATGGCAGGTGAGAGGCATGGCAGGTGAGAGGCATGGCAGGTGAGAGGCATGGCAGGTGAGAGCATGGCAGGTGAGAGGCATGGCCAGGTGAGAGGCATGGCAGGTGAGAGGCATGGCAGGGTGAGAGGCATGGCAGGTGAGAGTGAGAGGGCATGGCAGGTGAGAGGCATGGCAGGTGAGAGCATGGCAGGTGAGCGGCATGGCAAGGTGAGAGGCATGGCAGGTGAGAGCATGGCAGGTGAGAGCATGGCAGTTAGAGGCATGCAGGTGAGAGGCATGCAGGTGAGAGGCATGGCAGGTGAGAGGCATGCAGGTGAGAGGCATGGCAGGTGAGAGGCATGGCAGGTGAGAGGCATGAGTTAGAGGCATGGCAGGTGAGAGGGCATGGCAGGTGAGAGGCATGGCAGGTGCAGAGGCATGCAGGTGAGAGGCATGGAGGTGAGAGGCATGGCAGGTGAGAGGCATGCAGGTGAGAGGCATGGAGGTGAGAGGCATGGCAGGTGAGAGGCATGACAGGTGAGAGGCATGGACAGGTGAGAGGCATGGCAAGGTGAGAGGCATGGCAGGTGAGAGGCATGGCAGGTGAGAGGCATGACAGGTGAGAGGCATGGCAGGTGAGAGGCATGGCAGGTGAGAGGCATGGCAGTGTGAGAGGCATGACAGGTGAGAGGCATGACAGGTGAGAGGCATGGACAGGTGAGAGGCATGGACAGGGTGAGAGGCATGGCAGGTGAGAGGCATGGCAGGTGAGAGGCAGGACAGGTGAGAGGCATGCAGGTGAGAGGCATGACAGGTGAGAGGCATGACAGGTGAGAGGCATGAAAGGTGAGAGGCATGACAGGTGAGAGGCATGGACAGGTGAGAGGCAGACAGGTGAGAGGAATGGCAGGTGAGAGGCATGACAGGTGAGAGGCATGACAGGTGAGAGGCATGGCAGGTGAGAGGCATGGCAGGTGAGAGGAATGACAGGTGAGAGGCATGACAGGTGAGAGGCATGACAGTGTGAGAGGCAGACAGGTGAGAGGCATGGCAGGTGAGAGGCATGGCAGGTGAGAGGCATGACTAGGTGAGAGGCATGACAGGTGAGAGGCATGGCAGGGTGAGAGGCATGGCAGGTGAGAGGCATGGCAGGTGAGAGGCATGGCAGGTGAGAGGCATGGCAGGTGAGAGGCATGGCAGGTGAGAGGCATGACAGGTGAGAGGCATGACAGGTGAGAGGCATGACAGGTGAGAGGCATGACAGGTGAGAGCATGACAGGTGAGAGGCATGGCAGGTGAGAGGCATGGCAGGTGAGAGGCATGGCAGGTGAGAGGCATGACAGGTGAGAGGCATGGCAGGTGAGAGGCAATGACAGGTGAGAGGCATGGCAGGTGAGAGGCATGACAGGGTGAGAGGCATGACAGGTGGAGAGGCATGACAGGTGAGAGGCATGGCAGGTGAGAGGCATGGCAGGTGAGAGGCATGGCAGGGTGAGAGGCATGGCAGGTGAGAGGCATGACAGGTGAGAGGCATGGCAGGTGAGAGGCATGGCAGGTGAGAGGCATGACAGGTGAGAGGCATGACAGGTGAGAGGCATGACAGGTGAGAGGCATGACAGGTGAGAGGCATGACAGGTGAGAGGCATGACAGGTGAGAGGCATGGCAGGTGAGAGGCATGGCAGGTGAGAGGCATGACAGGTGAGAGGCATGGCAGGTGAGAGGCATGGCAGGTGAGAGGCATGACAGGTGAGAGGCATGACAGGTGAGAGGCATGGCAGGTGAGAGGCATGGCAGGTGAGAGGCATGGCAGGTGAGAGGCATGGCAGGTGAGAGGCATGGCAGGTGAGAGGCATGGCAGGTGAGAGGCATGACAGGTGAGAGGCATGGACAGGTGAGAGGCATGACAGGTGAGAGGCATGACAGGTGAGAGGCATGACAGGTGAGAGGCATGACAGGTGAGAGGCATGACAGGTGAGAGGCATGACAGGTGAGAGGCATGACAGGTGAGAGGCATGACAGGTGAGAGGCATGACAGGTGAGAGGCATGACAGGTGAGAGGCATGACAGGTGAGAGGCATGACAGGTGAGAGGCATGACAGGTGAGAGGCATGACAGGTGAGAGGCATGACAGGTGAGAGGCATGACAGGTGAGAGGCATGACAGGTGAGAGGCATGGCAGGTGAGAGGCATGCAGGTGAGAGGCATGACAGGTGAGAGGCATGACAGGTGAGAGGCATGACAGGTGAGAGGCATGACAGGTGAGAGGCATGACAGGTGAGAGGCATGGCAGGTGAGAGGCATGGCAGGTGAGAGGCATGACAGGTGAGAGGCATGACAGGTGAGAGGCATGACAGGTGAGAGGCATGACAGGTGAGAGGCATGGCAGGTGAGAGGCATGGCAGGTGAGAGGCATGACAGGTGAGAGGCATGACAGGTGAGAGGCATGGCAGGTGAGAGGCATGGCAGGTGAGAGGCATGGCAGGTGAGAGGCATGCCATGTGAGAGGCATGGCAGGTGAGAGGCATGGCAGGTGAGAGGCATGGCAGGTGAGAGGCATGGCAGGTGAGAGGCATGGCAGGTGAGAGGCATGGCAGGTGAGAGGCATGACAGGTGAGAGGCATGATAGGTGAGAGGCATGGCAGGTGAGAGGCATGGCAGGTGAGAGGCATGGCAGGTGAGAGGCATGACAGGTGAGAGGCATGGCAGGTGAGAGGCATGGCAGGTGAGAGGCATGACAGGTGAGAGGCATGACAGGTGAGAGGCATGACAGGTGAGAGGCATGACAGGTGAGATGCATGACAGGTGAGAGGCATGACAGGTGAGAGGCATGACAGGTGAGAGGCATGACAGGTGAGAGGCATGACAGGTGAGAGGCATGACAGGTGAGAGGCATGGCAGGTGAGAGGCATGACAGGTGAGAGGCATGGCAGGTGAGAGGCATGGCAGGTGAGAGGCATGGCAGGTGAGAGGCATGGCAGGTGAGAGGCATGACAGGTGAGAGGCATGGCAGGTGAGAGGCATGGCAGGTGAGAGGCATGACAGGTGAGAGGCATGACAGGTGAGAGGCATGGCAGGTGAGAGGCATGGCAGGTGAGAGGCATGACAGGTGAGAGGCATGACAGGTGAGAGGCATGACAGGTGAGAGGCATGGCAGGTGAGAGGCATGGCAGGTGAGAGGCATGACAGGTGAGAGGCATGACAGGTGAGAGGCATGACAGGTGAGAGGCATGACAGGTGAGAGGCATGACAGGTGAGAGGCCATGACAGGTGAGAGGCATGGCAGGTGAGAGGCATGGCAGGTGAGAGGCATGGCAGGTGAGAGGCATGGCAGGTGAGAGGCATGACAGGTGAGAGGCATGGCAGGTGAGAGGCATGGCAGGTGAGAGGCATGGCAGGTGAGAGGCATGGCAGGTGAGAGGCATGGCAGGTGAGAGGCATGACAGGTGAGAGGCATGACAGGTGAGAGGCATGACAGGTGAGAGCATGACAGGTGGAGAAGGACAGGTGAGAGGCATGACAGGTGAGAGGCATGACAGGTGAGAGGCATGACAGGTGAGAGGCATGACAGGTGAGAGGCATGACAGGTTGAGAGGCATGGCAGTTGAGAGGCATGGCAGGTGAGAGGCATGGCAGGTGAGAGGCATGGCAGGTGAGAGGCATGGCAGGTGAGAGGCATGACAGGTGAGAGGCATGGACAGGTGAGAGGCATGGCAGGTGAGAGGCATGGCAGGTGAGAGGCATGGCAGGTGAGAGGCATGGCAGGTGAGAGGCATGCAGGTGAGAGGCATGACAGGTGAGAGGCATGGCAGGTGAGAGGCATGACAGGTGAGAGGCATGACAGGTGAGAGGCATGACAGGTGAGAGGCATGACAGGTGAGAGGCATGACAGGTGAGAGGCATGGCAGGTGAGAGGCATGGCAGGTGAGAGGCATGGCAGGTGAGAGGCATGGCAGGTGAGAGGCATGACAGGTGAGAGGCATGACAGGTGAGAGGCATGACAGGTGAGAGGCATGACAGGTGAGAGGCATGACAGGTGAGAGGCATGACAGGTGAGAGGCATGACAGGTGAGAGGCATGACAGGTGAGAGGCATGGCAGGTGAGAGGCATGGCAGGTGAGAGCATGGCAGGTGAGAGGCATGGCAGGTGAGAGGCATGACAGGTGAGAGGCATGACAGGTGAGAGGCATGACAGGTGAGAGGCATGACAGGTGAGAGGCATGACAGGTGAGAGGCATGACAGGTGAGAGGCATGACAGGTGAGAGGCATGACAGGTGAGAGGCATGACAGGTGAGAGGCATGACAGGTGAGAGGCATGACAGGTGAGAGGCATGACAGGTGAGAGGCATGGCAGGTGAGAGGCATGGCAGGTGAGAGGCATGGCAGGTGAGAGGCATGACAGGTGAGAGGCATGACAGGTGAGAGGCATGGCAGGTGAGAGGCATGGCAGGTGAGAGGCATGGCAGGTGAGAGGCATGGCAGGTGAGAGGCATGACAGGTGAGAGGCATGACAGGTGAGAGGCATGACAGGTGAGAGGCATGACAGGTGAGAGGCATGACAGGTGAGAGGCATGACAGGTGAGAGGCATGACAGGTGAGAGGCATGACAGGTGAGAGGCATGACAGGTGAGAGGCATGACAGGTGAAGGCATGACAGGTGAGAGGCATGACAGGTGAGAGGCATGGCAGGTGAGAGGCATGGCAGGTGAGAGGCATGGCAGGTGAGAGGCATGGCAGGTGAGAGGCATGACAGGTGAGAGGCATGGCAGGTGAGAGGCATGGCAGGTGAGAGGCATGGCATGTGAGAGGCATGACAGGTGAGAGGCATGACAGGTGAGAGGCATGACAGGTGAGAGGCATGACAGGTGAGAGGCATGACAGGTGAGAGGCATGACAGGTGAGAGGCATGACAGGTGAGAGGCATGACAGGTGAGAGGCATGACAGGTGAGAGGCATGACAGGTGAGAGGCATGGACAGGTGAGAGGCATGGCAGGTGAGAGGCATGGCAGGTGAGAGGCATGGCAGGTGAGAGCATGACAGGTGAGAGGCATGACAGGTGAGAGGGCATGGCAGGTGAGAGGCATGGCAGGTGAGAGGCATGGCAGGTGAGAGGCATGGCAGGTGAGAGGCATGACAGGTGAGAGGCATGGCAGGTGAGAGGCATGGCAGGTGAAGAGCATGGACAGGTGAGAGGCATGACAGGTGAGAGGCATGACAGGTGAGAGGCATGACAGGTGAGAGGCATGACAGGTGAGAGGCATGGCAGGTGAGAGGCATGGCAGGTGAGAGGCATGGCAGGTGAGAGGCATGGCAGGTGAGAGGCATGACAGGTGAGAGGCATGACAGGTGAGAGGCATGACAGGTGAGAGGCATGAAGGTGGAGCACATGACAGGTGAGAGGCATGACAGGTGAGAGGCATGACAGGTGAGAGGCATGACAGGTGAGAGGCATGACAGGTGAGAGGCATGACAGGTGAGAGGCATGACAGGTGACATGGCAGGTGAGAGCATGGCAGGTGAGAGGCATGGCAGGTGAGAGGCATGGCAGGTGAGAGGCATGACAGGTGAGAGGCATGACAGGTGAGAGGCATGACAGGTGAGAGGCATGACAGGTGAGAGGCATGACAGGTGAGAGGCATGACAGGTGAGAGGCATGACAGGTGAGAGGCATGACAGGTGAGAGGCATGACAGGTGAGAGGCATGACAGGTGAGAGGCATGACAGGTGAGAGGCATGGCAGGTGAGAGGCATGGCAGGTGAGAGGCATGGCAGGTGAGAGGCATGGCAGGTGAGAGGCATGGCAGGTGAGAGGCATGACAGGTGAGAGGCATGACAGGTGAGAGGCATGACAGGTGAGAGGCATGGCAGGTGAGAGGCATGGCAGGTGAGAGGCATGGCAGGTGAGAGGCATGACAGGTGAGAGGCATGACAGGTGAGAGGCATGACAGGTGAGAGGCATGACAGGTGAGAGGCATGACAGGTGAGAGGCATGGCAGGTGAGAGGCATGGCAGGTGAGAGGCATGACAGGTGAGAGGCATGACAGGTGAGAGGCATGACAGGTGAGAGGCATGACAGGTGAGAGGCATGACAGGTGGAGAGGCATGACAGGTGAGAGGCATGACAGGTGAGAGGCATGACAGGTGAGAGGCATGGCAGGTGAGAGGCATGGCAGGTGAGAGGCAGGCAGGTGAGAGGCATGGCAGGTGAGAGGCATGACAGGTGAGAGGCATGACAGGTGAGAGGCATGCAGGTGAGAGGCATGGCAGGTGAGAGGCATGGCAGGTGAGAGGCATGACAGGTGAGAGGCATGACAGGTGAGAGGCATGACAGGTGAGAGGCATGACAGGTGAGAGGCATGACAGGTGAGAGGCATGACAGGTGAGAGGCATGACAGGTGAGAGGCATGACAGGTGAGAGGCATGACAGGTGAGAGGCATGACAGGTGAGAGGCATGACAGGTGAGAGGCATGACAGGTGAGAGGCATGACAGGTGAGAGGCATGACAGGTGAGAGGCATTGGCAGGTGAGAGGCATGGCAGGTGAGAGGCATGCATGTGGAGGCATGACAGGTGAGAGGCATGACAGGTGAGAGGCCATGACAGGTGAGAGGCCATGACAGGTGAGAGGCATGACAGGTGAGAGGCATGACAGGTGAGAGGCATGACAGGTGAGAGGCATGACAGGTGAGAGGCATGACAGGTGAGAGGCATGACAGGTGAGAGGCATGACAGGTGAGAGGCATGACAGGTGAGAGGCATGACAGGTGAGAGGCATGGCAGGTGAGAGGCATGGCAGGTGAGAGGCATGACAGGTGAGAGGCATGACAGGTGAGAGGCATGACAGGTGAGAGGCATGGCAGGTGAGAGGCATGGCAGGTGAGAGGCATGGCAGGTGAGAGGCATGACAGGTGAGAGGCATGACAGGTGAGAGGCATGACAGGTGAGAGGCATGACAGGTGAGAGGCATGACAGGTGAGAGGCATGACAGGTGAGAGGCATGACAGGTGAGAGGCATGACAGGTGAGAGGCATGGCAGGTGAGAGGCATGGCAGGTGAGAGGCATGGCAGGTGAGAGGCATGGCAGGTGAGAGGCATGACAGGTGAGAGGCATGACAGGTGAGAGGCATGACAGGTGAGAGGCATGACAGGTGAGAGGCATGACAGGTGAGAGGCATGACAGGTGAGAGGCATGGCAGGTGAGAGGCATGACAGGTGAGAGGCATGACAGGTGAGAGGCATGACAGGTGAGAGGCATGACAGGTGAGAGGCATGACAGGTGAGAGGCATGACAGGTGAGAGGCATGACAGGTGAGAGGCATGACAGGTGAGAGGCATGACAGGTGAGAGGCATGACAGGTGAGAGGCATGACAGGTGAGAGGCATGACAGGTGAGAGGCATGGCAGGTGAGAGGCATGGCAGGTGAGAGGCATGACAGGTGAGAGGCATGACAGGTGAGAGGCATGACAGGTGAGAGGCATGACAGGTGAGAGGCATGACAGGTGAGAGGCATGACAGGTGAGAGGCATGACAGGTGAGAGGCATGAGAGGTGAGAGGCATGACAGGTGAGAGGCATGACAGGTGAGAGGCCATGACAGGTGAGAGGCATTGACAGGTGAGAGGCATGACAGGTGAGAGGCATGGCAGGTGAGAGGCATGACAGGTGAGAGGCATGACAGGTGAGAGGCATGACAGGTGAGAGGCATGACAGGTGAGAGGCATGACAGGTGAGAGGCATGACAGGTGAGAGGCATGACAGGTGAGAGGCATGGCAGGGTGAGAGGCATGGCAGGTGAGAGGCATGACAGGTGAGAGGCATGACAGGTGAGAGGCATGACAGGTGAGAGGCATGACAGGTGAGAGGCATGACAGGTGAGAGGCATGACAGGTGAGAGGCATGACAGGTGAGAGGCATGACAGGTGAGAGGCATGACAGGTGAGAGGCATGACAGGTGAGAGGCATGACAGGTGAGAGGCATGACAGGTGAGAGGCATGACAGGTGAGAGGCATGACAGGTGAGAGGGCATGGCAGGTGAGAGGCATGGCAGGTGAGAGGCATGGCAGGTGAGAGGCATGGCAGGTGAGAGGCATGGCAGGTGAGAGGCATGACAGGTGAGAGGCATGACAGGTGAGAGGCATGACAGGTGAGAGGCATGACAGGTGCGAGGCCATGACAGGTGCGAGGCATGACAGGTGCGAGGCATGACAGGTGAGAGGCATGACAGGTGAGAGGCATGACAGGTGAGAGGCATGACAGGTGAGAGGCATGACAGGTGAGAGGCATGACAGGTGAGAGGCATGACAGGTGAGAGGCATGACAGGTGAGAGGCATGACAGGTGAGAGGCATGACAGGTGAGAGGCATGACAGGTGAGAGGCATGACAGGTGAGAGGCATGACAGGTGAGAGGCATGACAGGTGAGAGGCATGACAGGTGAGAGGCATGACAGGTGAGAGGCATGACAGGTGAGAGGCATGACAGGTGAGAGGCATGACAGGTGAGAGGCACAGGTGAGAGGCATGGCAGGTGAGAGGCATGGCAGGTGAGAGGCATGGCAGGTGAGAGGCATGGCAGGTGAGAGGCATGACAGGTGAGAGGCATGACAGGTGAGAGGCATGACAGGTGAGAGGCATGACAGGTGCGAGGCATGACAGGTGCGAGGCATGACAGGTGCGAGGCATGACAGGTGAGAGGCATGACAGGTGAGAGGCATGACAGGTGAGAGGCATGACAGGTGAGAGGCATGACAGGTGAGAGGCATGACAGGTGAGAGGCATGACAGGTGAGAGGCATGACAGGTGAGAGGCATGACAGGTGAGAGGCATGACAGGTGAGAGGCATGACAGGTGAGAGGCATGACAGGTGAGAGGCATGACAGGTGAGAGGCATGACAGGTGAGAGGCATGACAGGTGAGAGGCATGACAGGTGAGAGGCATGACAGGTGAGAGGCATGACAGGTGAGAGGCATGACAGGTGAGAGGCATGACAGGTGAGAGGCATGGCAGGAGGCATGGCAGGTGAGAGGCATGGCAGGTGAGAGGCATGGCAGGTGAGAGGCATGGCAGGCGAGAGGCATGGCAGGCGAGAGGCATGACAGGTGAGAGGCATGACAGGTGAGAGGCATGACAGGTGAGAGGCATGACAGGTGAGAGGCATGACAGGTGAGAGGCATGACAGGTGAGAGGCATGACAGGTGAGAGGCATGACAGGTGAGAGGCATGACAGGTGAGAGGCATGACAGGTGAGAGGCATGACAGGTGAGAGGCATGACAGGTGAGAGGCATGACAGGTGAGAGGCATGACAGGTGAGAGGCATGACAGGTGAGAGGCATGACAGGTGAGAGGCATGACAGGTGAGAGGCATGACAGGTGAGAGGCATGACAGGTGAGAGGCATGACAGGTGAGAGGCATGACAGGTGAGAGGCATGACAGGTGAGAGGCATGACAGGTGAGAGGCATGACAGGTGAGAGGCATGACAGGTGAGAGGCATGGCAGGTGAGAGGCATGGCAGGTGAGAGGCATGGCAGGTGAGAGGCATGGCAGGTGAGAGGCATGGCAGGTGAGAGGCATGGCAGGTGAGAGGCATGACAGGTGAGAGGCATGACAGGTGAGAGGCATGGCAGGTGAGAGGCATGGCAGGTGAGAGGCATGGCAGGTGAGAGGCATGACAGGTGAGAGGCATGACAGGTGAGAGGCATGACAGTGAGAGGCATGACAGGTGAGAGGCATGGCAGGTGAGAGGCATGGCAGGTGAGAGGCATGGCAGGTGAGAGGCATGGCAGGTGAGAGGCATGGCAGGTGAGATGCATGGCAGGTGAGAGGCATGGCAGGTGAGAGGCATGGCAGGTGAGAGGCATGGCAGGTGAGAGGCATGACAGGTGAGAGGCATGACAGGTGAGAGGCATGACAGGTGCGAGGCATGACAGGTGCGAGGCATGACAGGTGCGAGGCATGACAGGTGCGAGGCATGACAGGTGAGAGGCATGGCAGGTGAGAGGCATGGCAGGTGAGAGGCATGGCAGGTGAGAGGCATGGCAGGTGAGAGGCATGGCAGGTGAGAGGCATGACAGGTGAGAGGCATGACAGGTGAGAGGCATGGCAGGTGAGAGGCATGGCAGGTGAGAGGCATGGCAGGTGAGAGGCATGACAGGTGAGAGGCATGACAGGTGAGAGGCATGACAGGTGAGAGGCATGACAGGTGAGAGGCATGACAGGTGAGAGGCATGACAGGTGAGAGGCATGACAGGTGAGAGGCATGACAGGTGAGAGGCATGGCAGGTGAGAGGCATGGCAGGTGAGAGGCATGGCAGGTGAGAGGCATGACAGGTGAGAGGCATGACAGGTGAGAGGCATGGCAGGTGAGAGGCATGGCAGGTGAGAGGCATGGCAGGTGAGAGGCATGACAGGTGAGAGGCATGGCAGGTGAGAGGCATGACAGGTGAGAGGCATGACAGGTGAGAGGCATGACAGGTGAGAGGCATGACAGGTGAGAGGCATGACAGGTGAGAGGCATGACAGGTGAGAGGCATGACAGGTGAGAGGCATGACAGGTGAGAGGCATGACAGGTGAGAGGCATGGCAGGTGAGAGGCATGGCAGGTGAGAGGCATGGCAGGTGAGAGGCATGACAGGTGAGAGGCATGACAGGTGAGAGGCATGACAGGTGAGAGGCATGACAGGTGAGAGGCATGACAGGTGAGAGGCATGACAGGTGAGAGGCATGACAGGTGAGAGGCATGACAGGTGAGAGGCATGACAGGTGAGAGGCATGACAGGTGAGAGGCCATGACAGGTGAGAGGCATGACAGGTGAGAGGCATGACAGGTGAGAGGCATGACAGGTGAGAGGCATGGCAGGTGAGAGGCATGGCAGGTGAGAGGCATGACAGGTGAGAGGCATGACAGGTGAGAGGCATGACAGGTGAGAGGCATGACAGGTGAGAGGCATGACAGGTGAGAGGCATGACAGGTGAGAGGCATGACAGGTGAGAGGCATGACAGGTGAGAGGCATGACAGGTGAGAGGCATGACAGGTGAGAGGCATGACAGGTGAGAGGCATGACAGGTGAGAGGCATGACAGGTGAGAGGCATGACAGGTGAGAGGCATGACAGGTGAGAGGCATGACAGGTGAGAGGCATGAAGGGAGAGCATGACAGGTGAGAGGCATGACAGGTGAGAGGCATGACAGGTGAGAGGCATGGCAGGTGAGAGGCATGGCAGGTGAGAGGCATGGCAGGTGAGAGGCATGACAGGTTGAGAGGCATGACAGGTGAGAGGCATGACAGGTGAGAGGCATGACAGGTGAGAGGCATGACAGGTGAGAGGCATGACAGGTGAGAGGCATGACAGGTGAGAGGCATGACAGGTGAGAGGCATGACAGGTGAGAGGCATGACAGGTGAGAGGCATGGCAGGTGAGAGGGCATGGCAGGTGAGAGGCATGGCAGGTGAGAGGCATGACAGGTGAGAGGCATGACAGGTGAGAGGCATGACAGGTGAGAGGCATGACAGGTGAGAGGCATGACAGGTGAGAGGCATGACAGGTGAGAGGCATGACAGGTGAGAGGCATGACAGGTGAGAGGCATGGCAGGTGAGAGGCATGGCAGGTGAGAGGCATGGCAGGTGAGAGGCATGGCAGGTGAGAGGCATGACAGGTGAGAGGCATGACAGGTGAGAGGCATGACAGGTGAGAGGCATGACAGGTGAGAGGCATGACAGGTGAGAGGCATGACAGGTGAGAGGCATGACAGGTGAGAGGCATGGCAGGTGAGAGGCATGGCAGGTGAGAGGCATGGCAGGTGAGAGGCATGGCAGGTGAGAGGCATGACAGGTGAGAGGCATGGCAGGTGAGAGGCATGGCAGGTGAGAGGCATGGCAGGTGAGAGGCATGGCAGGTGAGAGGCATGACAGGTGAGAGGCATGACAGGTGAGAGGCATGACAGGTGAGAGGCATGACAGGTGAGAGGCATGGCAGGTGAGAGGCATGGCAGGTGAGAGGCATGGCAGGTGAGAGGCATGGCAGGTGAGAGGCATGGCAGGTGAGAGGCATGGCAGGTGAGAGGCATGACAGGTGAGAGGCATGACAGGTGAGAGGCATGGCAGGTGAGAGGCATGGCAGGTGAGAGGCATGGCAGGTGAGAGGCATGGCAGGTGAGAGGCATGGCAGGTGAGAGGCATGGCAGGTGAGAGGCATGGCAGGTGAGAGGCATGGCAGGTGAGAGGCATGGCAGGTGAGAGGCATGGCAGGTGAGAGGCATGGCAGGTGAGAGGCAGAGGCATGGCAGGTGAGAGGCTGAGGCATGGCAGGTGAGAGGCTGAGGCATGGCAGGTGAGAGGCTGAGGCATGGCAGGTGAGAGGCTGAGGCATGGCAGGTGAGAGGCATGACAGGTGAGAGGCATGACAGGTGAGAGGCATGGCAGGTGAGAGGCATGGCAGGTGAGAGGCATGGCAGGTGAGAGGCATGGCAGGTGAGAGGCATGGCAGGTGAGAGGCATGGCAGGTGAGAGGCATGGCAGGTGAGAGGCATGGCAGGTGAGAGGCATGGCAGGTGAGAGGCATGGCAGGTGAGAGGCATGACAGGTGAGAGGCATGACAGGTGAGAGGCATGACAGGTGAGAGGCATGACAGGTGAGAGGCATGGCAGGTGAGAGGCATGGCAGGTGAGAGGCATGGCAGGTGAGAGGCATGGCAGGTGAGAGGCATGACAGGTGAGAGGCATGACAGGTGAGAGGCATGACAGGTGAGAGGCATGACAGGTGAGAGGCATGACAGGTGAGAGGCATGACAGGTGAGAGGCATGACAGGTGAGAGGCATGACAGGTGAGAGGCATGGCAGGTGAGAGGCATGACAGGTGAGAGGCATGACAGGTGAGAGGCATGACAGGTGAGAGGCATGGCAGGTGAGAGGCATGGCAGGTGAGAGGCATGGCAGGTGAGAGGCATGGCAGGTGAGAGGCATGACAGGTGAGAGGCATGACAGGTGAGAGGCATGACAGGTGAGAGGCATGACAGGTGAGAGGCATGACAGGTGAGAGGCATGACAGGTGAGAGGCATGGCAGGTGAGAGGCATGGCAGGTGAGAGGCATGGCAGGTGAGAGGCATGGCAGGTGAGAGGCATGACAGGTGAGAGGCATGACAGGTGAGAGGCATGACAGGTGAGAGGCATGACAGGTGAGAGGCATGACAGGTGAGAGGCATGACAGGTGAGAGGCATGACAGGTGAGAGGCATGACAGGTGAGAGGCATGACAGGTGAGAGGCATGACAGGTGAGAGGCATGACAGGTGAGAGGCATGCAGGTGAGAGGCATGGCAGGTGAGAGGCATGGCAGGTGAGAGGCATGGCAGGTGAGAGGCATGACAGGTGAGAGGCATGACAGGTGAGAGGCATGACAGGTGAGAGGCATGACAGGTGAGAGGCATGACAGGTGAGAGGCATGACAGGTGAGAGGCATGACAGGTGAGAGGCATGACAGGTGAGAGGCATGACAGGTGAGAGGCATGACAGGTGAGAGGCATGACAGGTGAGAGGCATGACAGGTGAGAGGCATGACAGGTGAGAGGCATGACAGGTGAGAGGCATGACAGGTGAGAGGCATGCAGGTGAGAGGCATGGCAGGTGAGAGGCATGGCAGGTGAGAGGCATGGCAGGTGAGAGGCATGGCAGGTGAGAGGCATGGACAGGTGAGAGGCATGACAGGTGAGAGGCATGACAGGTGAGAGGCATGACAGGTGAGAGGCATGACAGGTGAGAGGCATGACAGGTGAGAGGCATGACAGGTGAGAGGCATGACAGGTGAGAGGCATGACAGGTGAGAGGCATGACAGGTGAGAGGCATGACAGGTGAGAGGCATGACAGGTGAGAGGCATGACAGGTGAGAGGCATGACAGGTGAGAGGCATGGCAGGTGAGAGGCATGGCAGGTGAGAGGCATGGCAGGTGAGAGGCATGGCAGGTGAGAGGCATGGCAGGTGAGAGGCATGGCAGGTGAGAGGCATGACAGGTGAGAGGCATGACAGGTGAGAGGCATGACAGGTGAGAGGCATGACAGGTGAGAGGCATGACAGGTGAGAGGCATGACAGGTGAGAGGCATGACAGGTGAGAGGCATGACAGGTGAGAGGCATGACAGGTGAGAGGCATGACAGGTGAGAGGCATGACAGGTGAGAGGCATGACAGGTGAGAGGCATGACAGGTGAGAGGCATGACAGGTGAGAGGCATGGCAGGTGAGAGGCATGGCAGGTGAGAGGCATGGCAGGTGAGAGGCATGGCAGGTGAGAGGCATGGCAGGTGAGAGGCATGACAGGTGAGAGGCATGACAGGTGAGAGGCATGACAGGTGAGAGGCATGACAGGTGAGAGGCATGACAGGTGAGAGGCATGACAGGTGAGAGGCATGACAGGTGAGAGGCATGACAGGTGAGAGGCATGCAGGTGAGAGGCATGGCAGGTGAGAGGCATGGCAGGTGAGAGGCATGGCAGGTGAGAGGCATGGCAGGTGAGAGGCATGGCAGGTGAGAGGCATGGCAGGTGAGAGGCATGGCAGGTGAGAGGCATGGCAGGTGAGAGGCATGGCAGGTGAGAGGCATGACAGGTGAGAGGCATGGCAGGTGAGAGGCATGACAGGTGAGAGGCATGACAGGTGAGAGGCATGGCAGGTGAGAGGCATGGCAGGTGAGAGGCATGACAGGTGAGAGGCATGGCAGGTGAGAGGCATGGCAGGTGAGAGGCATGACAGGTGAGAGGCATGACAGGTGAGAGGCATGGCAGGTGAGAGGCATGGCAGGTGAGAGGCATGGCAGGTGAGAGGCATGGCAGGTGAGAGGCATGACAGGTGAGAGGCATGACAGGTGAGAGGCATGACAGGTGAGAGGCATGACAGGTGAGAGGCATGACAGGTGAGAGGCATGACAGGTGAGAGGCATGACAGGTGAGAGGCATGACAGGTGAGAGGCATGACAGGTGAGAGGCATGACAGGTGAGAGGCATGACAGGTGAGAGGCATGACAGGTGAGAGGCATGACAGGTGAGAGGCATGGCAGGTGAGAGGCATGGCAGGTGAGAGGCATGGCAGGTGAGAGGCATGACAGGTGAGAGGCATGACAGGTGAGAGGCATGACAGGTGAGAGGCATGACAGGTGAGAGGCATGACAGGTGAGAGGCATGACAGGTGAGAGGCATGACAGGTGAGAGGCATGACAGGTGAGAGGCATGACAGGTGAGAGGCATGACAGGTGAGAGGCATGACAGGTGAGAGGCATGACAGGTGAGAGGCATGACAGGTGAGAGGCATGACAGGTGAGAGGCATGGCAGGTGAGAGGCATGGCAGGTGAGAGGCATGGCAGGTGAGAGGCATGGCAGGTGAGAGGCATGACAGGTGAGAGGCATGACAGGTGAGAGGCATGACAGGTGAGAGGCATGACAGGTGAGAGGCATGACAGGTGAGAGGCATGACAGGTGAGAGGCATGACAGGTGAGAGGCATGACAGGTGAGAGGCATGACAGGTGAGAGGCATGACAGGTGAGAGGCATGACAGGTGAGAGGCATGACAGGTGAGAGGCATGGCAGGTGAGAGGCATGGCAGGTGAGAGGCATGGCAGGTGAGAGGCATGACAGGTGAGAGGCATGACAGGTGAGAGGCATGACAGGTGAGAGGCATGACAGGTGAGAGGCATGACAGGTGAGAGGCATGACAGGTGAGAGGCATGACAGGTGAGAGGCATGACAGGTGAGAGGCATGACAGGTGAGAGGCATGACAGGTGAGAGGCATGACAGGTGAGAGGCATGACAGGTGAGAGGCATGGACAGGTGAGAGGCATGGCAGGTGAGAGGCATGGCAGGTGAGAGGCATGGCAGGTGAGAGGCATGGCAGGTGAGAGGCATGACAGGTGAGAGGCATGACAGGTGAGAGGCATGACAGGTGAGAGGCATGACAGGTGAGAGGCATGACAGGTGAGAGGCATGACAGGTGAGAGGCATGACAGGTGAGAGGCATGACAGGTGAGAGGCATGACAGGTGAGAGGCATGACAGGTGAGAGGCATGACAGGTGAGAGGCATGACAGGTGAGAGGCATGACAGGTGAGAGGCATGACAGGTGAGAGGCATGACAGGTGAGAGGCATGACAGGTGAGAGGCATGACAGGTGAGAGGCATGACAGGTGAGAGGCATGGCAGGTGAGAGGCATGGCAGGTGAGAGGCATGGCAGGTGAGAGGCATGGCAGGTGAGAGGCATGGCAGGTGAGAGGCATGGCAGGTGAGAGGCATGACAGGTGAGAGGCATGACAGGTGAGAGGCATGACAGGTGAGAGGCATGACAGGTGAGAGGCATGACAGGTGAGAGGCATGACAGGTGAGAGGCATGACAGGTGAGAGGCATGACAGGTGAGAGGCATGACAGGTGAGAGGCATGACAGGTGAGAGGCATGACAGGTGAGAGGCATGACAGGTGAGAGGCATGGCAGGTGAGAGGCATGGCAGGTGAGAGGCATGGCAGGTGAGAGGCATGGCAGGTGAGAGGCATGGCAGGTGAGAGGCATGGCAGGTGAGAGGCATGGCAGGTGAGAGGCATGACAGGTGAGAGGCATGACAGGTGAGAGGCATGGCAGGTGAGAGGCATGGCAGGTGAGAGGCATGGCAGGTGAGAGGCATGGCAGGTGAGAGGCATGGCAGGTGAGAGGCATGACAGGTGAGAGGCATGACAGGTGAGAGGCATGACAGGTGAGAGGCATGACAGGTGAGAGGCATGACAGGTGAGAGGCATGGCAGGTGAGAGGCATGGCAGGTGAGAGGCATGGCAGGTGAGAGGCATGGCAGGTGAGAGGCATGGCAGGTGAGAGGCATGACAGGTGAGAGGCATGACAGGTGAGAGGCATGACAGGTGAGAGGCATGACAGGTGAGAGGCATGACAGGTGAGAGGCATGACAGGTGAGAGGCATGACAGGTGAGAGGCATGACAGGTGAGAGGCATGACAGGTGAGAGGCATGACAGGTGAGAGGCATGACAGGTGAGAGGCATGGCAGGTGAGAGGCATGGCAGGTGAGAGGCATGGCAGGTGAGAGGCATGGCAGGTGAGAGGCATGGCAGGTGAGAGGCATGACAGGTGAGAGGCATGACAGGTGAGAGGCATGACAGGTGAGAGGCATGACAGGTGAGAGGCATGGCAGGTGAGAGGCATGGCAGGTGAGAGGCATGACAGGTGAGAGGCATGACAGGTGAGAGGCATGACAGGTGAGAGGCATGACAGGTGAGAGGCATGACAGGTGAGAGGCATGACAGGTGAGAGGCATGACAGGTGAGAGGCATGACAGGTGAGAGGCATGACAGGTGAGAGGCATGACAGGTGAGAGGCATGACAGGTGAGAGGCATGACAGGTGAGAGGCATGACAGGTGAGAGGCATGACAGGTGAGAGGCATGACAGGTGAGAGGCATGACAGGTGAGAGGCATGACAGGTGAGAGGCATGACAGGTGAGAGGCATGGCAGGTGAGAGGCATGGCAGGTGAGAGGCATGGCAGGTGAGAGGCATGACAGGTGAGAGGCATGACAGGTGAGAGGCATGACAGGTGAGAGGCATGACAGGTGAGAGGCATGGCAGGTGAGAGGCATGGCAGGTGAGAGGCATGGCAGGTGAGAGGCATGACAGGTGAGAGGCATGGACAGGTGAGAGGCATGGCAGGTGAGAGGCATGGCAGGTGAGAGGCATGGCAGGTGAGAGGCATGGCAGGTGAGAGGCATGGCAGGTGAGAGGCATGGCAGGTGAGAGGCATGGCAGGTGAGAGGCATGGCAGGTGAGAGGCATGGCAGGTGAGAGGCATGGCAGGTGAGAGGCATGGCAGGTGAGAGGCATGGCAGGTGAGAGGCATGACAGGTGAGAGGCATGACAGGTGAGAGGCATGGCAGGTGAGAGGCATGGCAGGTGAGAGGCATGGCAGGTGAGAGGCATGGCAGGTGAGAGGCATGGCAGGTGAGAGGCATGGCAGGTGAGAGGCATGGCAGGTGAGAGGCATGACAGGTGAGAGGCATGACAGGTGAGAGGCATGACAGGTGAGAGGCATGACAGGTGAGAGGCATGACAGGTGAGAGGCATGACAGGTGAGAGGCATGACAGGTGAGAGGCATGACAGGTGAGAGGCATGACAGGTGAGAGGCATGACAGGTGAGAGGCATGGCAGGTGAGAGGCATGACAGGTGAGAGGCATGACAGGTGAGAGGCATGGCAGGTGAGAGGCATGGCAGGTGAGAGGCATGGCAGGTGAGAGGCATGACAGGTGAGAGGCATGACAGGTGAGAGGCATGGCAGGTGAGAGGCATGACAGGTGAGAGGCATGACAGGTGAGAGGCATGACAGGTGAGAGGCATGGCAGGTGAGAGGCATGGCAGGTGAGAGGCATGGCAGGTGAGAGGCATGGCAGGTGAGAGGCATGGCAGGTGAGAGGCATGACAGGTGAGAGGCATGGCAGGTGAGAGGCATGGCAGGTGAGAGGCATGGCAGGTGAGAGGCATGACAGGTGAGAGGCATGGCAGGTGAGAGGCATGGCAGGTGAGAGGCATGGCAGGTGAGAGGCATGACAGGTGAGAGGCATGACAGGTGAGAGGCATGACAGGTGAGAGGCATGACAGGTGAGAGGCATGACAGGTGAGAGGCATGACAGGTGAGAGGCATGGCAGGTGAGAGGCATGGCAGGTGAGAGGCATGGCAGGTGAGAGGCATGGCAGGTGAGAGGCATGGCAGGTGAGAGGCATGACAGGTGAGAGGCATGACAGGTGAGAGGCATGACAGGTGAGAGGCATGGCAGGTGAGAGGCATGACAGGTGAGAGGCATGACAGGTGAGAGGCATGACAGGTGAGAGGCATGGCAGGTGAGAGGCATGGCAGGTGAGAGGCATGGCAGGTGAGAGGCATGACAGGTGAGAGGCATGACAGGTGAGAGGCATGACAGGTGAGAGGCATGGCAGGTGAGAGGCATGACAGGTGAGAGGCATGCCAGGTGAGAGGCATGCCAGGTGAGAGGCATGGCAGGTGAGAGGCATGACAGGTGAGAGGCATGACAGGTGAGAGGCATGACAGGTGAGAGGCATGACAGGTGAGAGGCATGACAGGTGAGAGGCATGGCAGGTGAGAGGCATGACAGGTGAGAGGCATGGCAGGTGAGAGGCATGACAGGTGAGAGGCATGACAGGTGAGAGGCATGACAGGTGAGAGGCATGACAGGTGAGAGGCATGGCAGGTGAGAGGCATGGCAGGTGAGAGGCATGGCAGGTGAGAGGCATGGCAGGTGAGAGGCATGACAGGTGAGAGGCATGACAGGTGAGAGGCATGACAGGTGAGAGGCATGACAGGTGAGAGGCATGGCAGGTGAGAGGCATGGCAGGTGAGAGGCATGACAGGTGAGAGGCATGACAGGTGAGAGGCATGGCAGGTGAGAGGCATGGCAGGTGAGAGGCATGGCAGGTGAGAGGCATGGCAGGTGAGAGGCATGGCAGGTGAGAGGCATGGCAGGTGAGAGGCATGGCAGGTGAGAGGCATGACAGGTGAGAGGCATGACAGGTGAGAGGCATGGCAGGTGAGAGGCATGGCAGGTGAGAGGCATGACAGGTGAAGAGGCATGACAGGTGAGAGGCATGACAGGTGAGAGGCATGACAGGTGAGAGGCATGACAGGTGAGAGGCATGACAGGTGAGAGGCATGACAGGTGAGAGGCATGACAGGTGAGAGGCATGACAGGTGAGAGGCATGACAGGTGAGAGGCATGACAGGTGAGAGGCATGACAGGTGAGAGGCATGACAGGTGAGAGGCATGACAGGTGAGAGGCATGGGCATGACAGGTGAGAGGCATGGGCATGACAGGTGAGAGGCATGACAGGTGAGAGGCATGGGCATGACAGGTGAGAGGCATGGGCATGACAGGTGAGAGGCATGGGCATGACAGGTGAGAGGCATGAGCATGACAGGTGAGAGGCATGAGCATGACAGGTGAGAGGCATGACAGGTGAGAGGCATGACAGGTGAGAGGCATGACAGGTGAGAGGCATGAGCATGACAGGTGAGAGGCATGAGCATGACAGGTGAGAGGCATGAGCATGACAGGTGAGAGGCATGAGCATGACAGGTGAGAGGCATGAGCATGACAGGTGAGAGGCATGACAGGTGAGAGGCATGACAGGTGAGAGGCATGACAGGTGAGAGGCATGGCAGGTGAGAGGCATGACAGGTGAGAGGCATGGCAGGTGAGAGGCATGGCAGGTGAGAGGCATGACAGGTGAGAGGCATGACAGGTGAGAGGCATGACAGGTGAGAGGCATGACAGGTGAGAGGCATGGCAGGTGAGAGGCATGACAGGTGAGAGGCATGACAGGTGAGAGGCATGGCAGGTGAGAGGCATGGCAGGTGAGAGGCATGGCAGGTGAGAGGCATGGCAGGTGAGAGGCATGGCAGGTGAGAGGCATGACAGGTGAGAGGCATGACAGGTGAGAGGCATGGCAGGTGAGAGGCATGACAGGTGAGAGGCATGACAGGTGAGAGGCATGACAGGTGAGAGGCATGACAGGTGAGAGGCATGACAGGTGAGAGGCATGACAGGTGAGAGGCATGGCAGGTGAGAGGCATGGCAGGTGAGAGGCATGACAGGTGAGAGGCATGGCAGGTGAGAGGCATGGCAGGTGAGAGGCATGGCAGGTGAGAGGCATGACAGGTGAGAGGCATGACAGGTGAGAGGCATGGCAGGTGAGAGGCATGACAGGTGAGAGGCATGACAGGTGAGAGGCATGGCAGGTGAGAGGCATGGCAGGTGAGAGGCATGGCAGGTGAGAGGCATGGCAGGTGAGAGGCATGGCAGGTGAGAGGCATGGCAGGTGAGAGGCATGACAGGTGAGAGGCATGAGAGGTGAGAGGCATGAGAGGTGAGAGGCATGAGAGGTGAGAGGCATGAGAGGTGAGAGGCATGAGAGGTGAGAGGCATGAGAGGTGAGAGGCATGGCAGGTGAGAGGCATGGCAGGTGAGAGGCATGGCAGGTGAGAGGCATGGCAGGTGAGAGGCATGGCAGGTGAGAGGCATGGCAGGTGAGAGGCATGGCAGGTGAGAGGCATGGCAGGTGAGAGGCATGGCAGGTGAGAGGCATGGCAGGTGAGAGGCATGGCAGGTGAGAGGCATGGCAGGTGAGAGGCATGGCAGGTGAGAGGCATGGCAGGTGAGAGGCATGGCAGGTGAGAGGCATGGCAGGTGAGAGGCATGGCAGGTGAGAGGCATGGCAGGTGAGAGGCATGGCAGGTGAGAGGCATGGCAGGTGAGAGGCATGGCAGGTGAGAGGCATGGCAGGTGAGAGGCATGGCAGGTGAGAGGCATGGCAGGTGAGAGGCATGGCAGGTGAGAGGCATGGCAGGTGAGAGGCATGGCAGGTGAGAGGCATGGCAGGTGAGAGGCATGACAGGTGAGAGGCATGGACAGGTGAGAGGCATGGCAGGTGAGAGGCATGGCAGGTGAGAGGCATGGCAGGTGAGAGGCATGGCAGGTGAGAGGCATGGCAGGTGAGAGGCATGGCAGGTGAGAGGCATGGCAGGTGAGAGGCATGGCAGGTGAGAGGCATGGCAGGTGAGAGGCATGGCAGGTGAGAGGCATGGCAGGTGAGAGGCATGGCAGGTGAGAGGCATGGCAGGTGAGAGGGCATGGCAGGTGAGAGGCATGGCAGGTGAGAGGCATGGCAGGTGAGAGGCATGGCAGGTGAGAGGCATGGCAGGTGAGAGGCATGGCAGGTGAGAGGCATGGCAGGTGAGAGGCATGGCAGGTGAGAGGCATGGCAGGTGAGAGGCATGGCAGGTGAGAGGCATGGCAGGTGAGAGGCATGGCAGGTGAGAGGCATGGCAGGTGAGAGGCATGGCAGGTGAGAGGCATGGCAGGTGAGAGGCATGGCAGGTGAGAGGCATGGCAGGTGAGCATGCAGTGAGAGGCATGGCAGGTGAGAGGCATGGCAGGTGAGAGGCATGGCAGGTGAGAGGCATGGCAGGTGAGAGGCATGGCAGGTGAGAGGCATGGCAGGTGAGAGGCATGGCAGGTGAGAGGCATGGCAGGTGAGAGGCATGGCAGGTGAGAGGCATGGCAGGTGAGAGGCATGGCAGGTGAGAGGCATGGCAGGTGAGAGGCATGGCAGGTGAGAGGCATGGCAGGTGAGAGGCATGGCAGGTGAGAGGCATGGCAGGTGAGAGGCATGGCAGGTGAGAGGCATGGCAGGTGAGAGGCATGGCAGGTGAGAGGCATGGCAGGTGAGAGGCATGGCAGGTGAGAGGCATGGCAGGTGAGAGGCATGGCAGGTGAGAGGCATGGCAGGTGAGAGGCATGGCAGGTGAGAGGCATGGCAGGTGAGAGGCATGGCAGGTGAGAGGCATGGCAGGTGAGAGGCATGGCAGGTGAGAGGCATGGCAGGTGAGAGGCATGGCAGGTGAGAGGCATGGCAGGTGAGAGGCATGGCAGGTGAGAGGCATGGCAGGTGAGAGGCATGGCAGGTGAGAGGCATGGCAGGTGAGAGGCATGGCAGGTGAGAGGCATGGCAGGTGAGAGGCATGGCAGGTGAGAGGCATGGCAGGTGAGAGGCATGGCAGGGTGAGAGGCATGGCAGGTGAGAGGCATGGCAGGTGAGAGGCATGGCAGGTGAGAGGCATGGCAGGTGAGAGGCATGGCAGGTGAGAGGCACGGCAACTGGATGCGAAACGGCAGGTGAGAAATATGCCAGGTAAGCATGACGTCAGGTGAGAAATATGCCAGGTAAGCATGACGTCAGGTGAGGATGTCTTTACACGTTGGACAGTGCATGAGCACTGTTTTCTCTATCTTCTTGTTTGAAGTAGTGTTTTGAGACATCGCAACACTCTATCTTCTGAGGTGTAGACACTCCCCAAGTCGTAAGGTGAGAATGTCTACCCCTCAACTCTCCCCCCCACCTCCTCTCACCCCCTTTCCCCTTGCTTCCAGGAGGCAGGCCCAGCCAGCAACAGCCAGTGCTGCAGTTGTTAGTACTGGCAGCGGGGGTGACTGGCGGCCTAGCAGGGAGGGCAGAGATAGCAGGGAGGGCAGGGCGAGCAGGAGGGGAAGAAGGGGCAACAGGAAAGAGATAGGCGAGAATGGAGAGAACAGGGTCATGGAGAATGAGAGGGGGAGTAGAGGCGGGTACTGGAAGACAAGGCCTGTGCATGGGGATGAGGGAACAGGGATGGCATGGGGAAGAGGGAGGAATGGTGGGAGCAGCAAGAGCAGCAGTGGGGGCAGCAGTGGCAACAGTGGCAGCAGCAGCAGTAGCAGCAGAGGCAGAAGCAGCAGCAGCAGCAGCAGCAGCAGCAGTGGCACAAGCGTGGAGAGGTGGAGTCCAAGTGAGGGCTTGCAGAGGGAGGGGCGGAATGACGAGAAGACAGGCAGAAATGAAAGGGGCAGTAGAGTATGGGAGAGGAGATGATGGGAGAGGTTATGATGGGAGAGGAGATGATGGATTGGAATGCCACGCAAGGGGATGCTGAAGGTCAATACCTTGTAGACCTTTTTTTTCAGTCATGTGGAAGAAATGGGAGACTTATTATGGAAATTGTTCACAAAAATGTTCACTGATTTTTACTGCATTACTGCAGCACTAGTAGGTACGGTACGGTACGGTACGGTACTGGTATTTCAGCAAATTTACCAGGGCGTGCAGGATATAACTGTGGCACATGTGTCGGCCTGAAATGTTGCCAGGCAGTGACCTTGTGTCTCAAACTCAGCCTCTTGCTCACAATGGGAGAATCTTTCTCCCAACCCAAGTCCCTTTTTCAGAGCAAACAACAGTTATCATAAACTGGTCGAAACTGGTATTCACAAAGGCTTGAAATTTGTTCCACGTGCACTGTTCACATACAAATGATACACTTACAATACAACAACTCATGTACCGGTATGACACTCTAGTCACCCCGCCGCAACCCTCGCCACTCGCATCTCTGTCTCATCCCCTCACCTCTCACATCTCTTTCTCATCCCCTCACCTCTCACATCTCTGTCTCATCCCCTCACCTCTCACATCTCTGTCTCATCCCCTCACCTCTCACATCTCTGTCTCATCCCCTGTGACACTAGACTCTGCTGGCCGTCAGAAAGTGACGTGAGCCCTCTCCCCACCTGACCAACTGTCTCTCACCATCTGACACTGCCTGCATCAGTCAAAGGGTGCCAGCCCCAGCCCCTCCCCCAGCTGCAGCACCCTCAGGTTCGCTCTCACGTGCATGTCTCCGTGCCAAAAGTACCTGCCATTGTCCCTCACCACCTCACTCCACGGGTCCAGCAGGCTGCCATAACCGCAACCTTCACAAACCCATCCCCTTTTTTTGAGACGTCTCAAAACTAGGCAACCTTCACAAACCCATCCCCTTTTTTTGAGACGTCTCAAAACTAGGCGAGCTTCACAAACCCATCCCCTTTTTTTGAGACGTCTCAAAACTAGGCAAGCTTCACAAACCCATCCCCTTCCACCCACCTGCCTCTCCCCTCACCATTTGACCACCTGCCTCGTCAGTCAAAGGGCGCCAGCCCCTCCCCCAGCTGCAGCACCCTCAGGTCCGCCCTGAGGTGCATCACCCCGTTGCGAAAATACTTGCCATTGTCCCTCACCACCTCGCTCCAGGGGTTCAGCAGGCTGCGGTAACCGCGCTCTCTAAAGAGCCCTTTGAAGGTGTGCGATGCGGTCTGCTTCTGCTGCACGAATTGGCCGGAAGGGTGCTCTTTCACGAGAAAGGTGAACTCGATGGTCACACTGTCGTCCAACACCCTGTCGTGTGTGGGGCTCCTCTGAGGGATGGGGCAAGGGTGTGGGTGGGAAGACGGCAGTGAGCATTAACTGGTGCTTCTGCTTCTGCCTTTGCCCCTCGATGGTCACACTGTCGTCCAACACCCTGTCGTGCGTGGGGCTCCGCTGAGGAGAGAGCGGGAGAGGGGTGTGGGAAGGGGTGTGAGAAGGAGGGTGGGAAGGAGGCAGTGAGCAATAAGTGGTGCTTCTGCCTCTTCCCCTCTATGGTCACACTGTCGTCCAACACCCTGTCATGTGTGGGGCTCCTCTGAGGAGAGAGCGAAGGAGAAGGGGTAGGAGACGGCGGAGGTGAAGGGGAGCGGGGGCAGGGAATGGGAGTGGGAGGGAGGGGGTGTGCAACAAGTCGAGCCTTGGAGGAAGAGACAGAAGCCTGATCTTCCAACAAGGTACAATGAGGAACGTATGGGAACAGCTTATTGCATACCCAATATAAATGGCTAAGGGGACCCTACCTGCGAGGCTTGGAGAAACAGGCCAAAGTCTGATCCCCCAACAGGTGCCGCCACCCGCATGACCTTGAGTGAGAAGAGCTTGCCATGCAGCCACGCTCCTCCTGTGTGACGAGATGGGAGGGGAGAGTAGCAAAGGATAAGGAGGGATGACGATCGGTGAGTGTGAAGGTCTGAGCTGCCACCCACGTGACCTTGAGTGAGAAGAGGTTGCCATGCAGCCACGCTCCTCCTGTGTGTGACGAGATGGAAAGGGAGTAATAGAGAATATTGGGGCACGACCACGTGCACATATACACACACTATCTATTGTTTCCACTCACCTGCTAGGAGTACCGCCTGCCCTGGCTGTAGCATGTAGCAGTCCTACAGCAGCACCTCGCTACAGACGGAACACATACACGCCAGGGCACACGCCCTGCAAATGGAAGCACATCGATAGCGCATGCAATTACCGGCCAGCAGTATCGCCTGCCCCGGCTGTAGCATGTAGCAATCTTGCAGCAGCACCTCGCTACAGACGGACAGCTGGCACCGGCGCTGGTACCGCCTGTGCTGCTGCTGGTGCATTTGCATTGAGTCTTGAATGAGTTGTTGCTGGCGTTCGAACGAGGAGCACTTGAACCAGAGAGCTTCTGTGACGAGGGCGTGGAGGGTGGGGGAGTCGGCTTCTGGTGTGGTGGTGATGAGCGCGTGCAGGGCGGATGTTGCCATTGCTGGAAAGCGAATGCTACCTGCCAGCCTGGGGAGGGGTGGGAGACAAAGAGAACGAGAAGGAGAAGGAGAAAAAGAAGAAGGAGAAGGGAAACAGGAAAAAAGAGGGGAAGGGGATGAGCGGCTGCTGTTGCCATTCAAACGAGGAGCACTTGAACCAGAGCGCCTCTGTTATGAGGGCGCGGAGGGTGGGGGAGTCCGCTTCTGGTGTGGTGGTGATGAGCGCGTGCAGGGCGGATGTTGCCATTGCTGGAAAGCGAATGCTGCCTGCTAGCCTGGGGAGGGGGGGTTGAGGGGAGGGGAGGAGAGGGGTAGGAGGACGCTAGGAGGGAAATAGAGACGAAAATTCTTGGAAGGAAGCGAACCCATAAGCACTTCTATGAGGCTGAGAAAACCCCACCCACCCACTCACTAACCTTACCAGCATCTCCTTGCGTTGTGCTAAGTCGTCCGGCCAGAGGTGGCGCACCCAATGCAAGCACGCTTCGAGAACTGGCTCCTCTGCCTGCACTCCCACGCCGTCGCTCCCCAGCAGGGCTTGCAGGGCGGAATCAGTGATAGCTACACGCACCTTCCCAGCATCTCCTTTCGTGTGGAAAGGTTGTCCGGCCAGTGGTGGCGCACCCAGTGCAGGCACGCCTCAAGCACCGGCTCCTCTGCCTGCACTAACACACCGTCGTTCCCCAGCATCTCACATCAGTGCTTGCAGGGTGCTCACCTTCCCAGCATCTCCTTGCGTTGTGCTAAGTCGTCCGGCCAGTGGTGGCGCACCCAGTGCAGGCACGCCTCCAACACCGTCTCCTCGGCCTGCACTCCCACGTCGTCGCTCCCCAACAGAGCTTGCAGCGCCTCGAGAGGGAGAGAGAGGAAGTCGGACGTGTGCCAGGTGGCGTCCAGAGAGGTGAAGTGCTGCACCAGGAAGACTGAGGAGGAGGCGAGGAGGAAGGAGGCTGCAGAGTGCATGTGGAAAGAGGGAGAGAAGAGAACAGAAAGGAAGGAAGTCGGCGTGTGCCAGGTGGCGTTGAGGGAGGTGAAGTGCTCTACTAGGAAGGCCGAGGAGGAGGCGAGGAGGATGGAAGCTGCGACATTGCAAGGGGGGAGGGAGAGGAAGGGACAGAAGGGAAGAGCGCAGAGTAATCAGAGGAATTTGGGCGTGTGCCAGGTGGCGTCGAGGGAGGTGAAATGCTGCACTAGGAAGGCCGAGGAGGAGGCGAGGAGGATGGAAGCTGCAGCGTAACAGAGGAGAAGGCAGGGAAGGAAAAGAGAGCAGAGGCAAGCAGGTTTTTGAGTCGATTTTTGAGTCGACTCATCACCTCATCAATCATCGGAGCCCAGGCAAGCAGGTGACTCAAAAATCGACTCATCACACGAGAGCAGAGGCAAGCAGGAAGGAAGCTGAAAAAGGGAAGTTGAGTGAGAAAAGGTCGGGGGTGAGATCTGAATTATCAGCATAAGATAAAAGCATTGCCCCTCAACAAGGCCTAACTGCTTAAGATCTACCAGCGTGCGACCAGACCAACTCACCAGCATGATAGCTACCCACCAGCGTCAGAGAGAGCAACGTTGGAGCAGACCCGGAGTAGCGTGCAGGCAATGTCAAGCGTGAGAGGTAACTCTCTGCAGGGGAGGAAGAAAGAAAGAGTGCAGAGCAACAAGTAGCATCAGAGACAAGTAGTACCTCCCTTCCTTGCAGTCAAGTGAGAAAGCAGGCAAAACAGAGAGAGCAGGTAACGCGTTCCGTGCACCACCTGAGCATCACCTACCTTAAAAAGCGTTACTTTCACCCCCAGTACCATTACTGTTACACTTCCTACCTCAGGTGGTGTGCGCACACGTCCACACAGGACAGCACGGAGAACTTGTTTGCCAGCAGCAGCAGGTGCAGCACGGCCTCTGGATCATCGGAGCCCAGGCGCCCTGTGTACAGGTAGTGCAGCAGATGCATGAAGGGCTGTTGCTCTGTGGGTTGGAGGCGGGGCGGAATGGAAGAGGGGAATGGGGAAGGGCCATGCATCAATCATCGGAGCCCAGGCGCCCCGTGTACAGGTAGTGCAGCAGATGCATCAAGGGGCGCTCCTCTGGAAGTGAAGGCGGAGGGAGGCGGAGTGGGGGAAGGAAGGTAAGGGGTGAGCGGGGAAGCGAAGACGGAAGGGGTGGGCGGAGGGAAGTCTAGTTTTGAGGCGCCTCAAAACTAGGGCGGGCGGAGGGCGAGGGTGGAGGAGGGACGAGTGGCGATGGGGAGTGGGAGTGGGCAGTGGGGGTGCAGGACACAGCAAAGCTGAAAGAAGACCACCTTGAACTGACATTCCAAGTATGCAACTTACTTACCTTCCGGTGCGAGTCGGATGGTGACTGGAGGAGGCTTCACAAATTCAGGCTCAGACAAGAAAGATGAAGCTGAGGGCGAGGAAGAGAGAGGTCGAAGAGGAGGAGGAGGAGGTGGAGGAGGAGGAGGAGGAGGGGGGCGCCATTGCGGCGAGAAGAGCGATTTGAAGAAGTCGGACTGAGACACGAGGATGGCTGATATCACGTGCACCTGCACCCGCCGGGGCTTTTGAGCCGACTCACAAGGCACCTGCACCTGCTGCTCTGCACAGCCGCTGGTGCTGCTGCTGCTGCTGCTGCTGCTCTTGCTGCTGCTGCTTCTGTTGCCAACGAAAGCAGCACCAGCTGCTGCTGCACCTCCACTGTTTCTGTCAGCGCCAGCAGCAGAGGCTGCTGCTGCATCAGTCGCGTCATCGATCGTGCTTGAATCTGAGCCGTCCATGCCAGCTGTGGCAGCGAGATCTGCAGACGCCATTCCGTTATTACCCATCCGCTCTCCTTCACCCTTCCGTAATTCCTCTCCGCGCTCTAGCTCGTGACCGTTCTCGTGTCCCTGCTTATGCCATCCTTCCTCCGCCTGCTCCTGCTCTTCCCCCTGCCCACGTCCTTCTTCGTCCTCCAGCTCATCCGCGGCAATCTCGAGGGAGAGGCAGCGGTCGCTGAATTCGGGGTTGTTGAGTGCAAAGGAGAAGTCGAACGCGCGCGGGTCAGGCGGGTACGACGGCCGCGGCGGCGGATGCAGGCGCTGGTGCGCGGGAAGACCGCAGTGCGTCCGCGCCTCGCCGGGACTGCTGCCGCTGCTGCCGCTTCCGCCGCTGCTCGAATTCATGACGAAGAAGACTGTGCAGAGGCTAACTAATCAAACTTAAAGCTCACGGCCCAAATTGCGAAGCGCGCAGGGCAAGATTATATTCTTGCACACTTCGCGTTTTTTGTGCTGTCTCTTCGTGTGATGCAATCTGATTGGTTACTGAAAGTTTAGAAGCGATCTGATTGGTTGCAGCAGGTTTAAAAGGAATTTGATTGGTTCCAGTGCAAGTTTCTCAACTCTGCAATTTGGGACTCTCGGTCCCCAAACACACGGTGCCCCCAGGACTTCGCGTTCACCAACCCCACCCCCAGCACCCAACCTTGCACAAGATTACTAGTCTTGTGCAATTTGGGCCTTGAGCTTTAATAAGTGGTCTGGAAACTTGGAGTGACAGCTCAGGAACTCTAATTCGGCGAACAAATCCTAATTAAGAACCTTAGCGACTCAGGAAACTAAGGTTCTTATAGCCCGGCAATCTTCTATCCTACAAAGGCGGCTGCATGTCCGGCTGACGCGCTGTGATTGGTACCTGGCAGCCGTGTAGCCTGGGTAAGTTGCGCTCCGCAGCGCACGGAAATCTTAGACCTTCATTTGCAGCTGAGAGCGTTATTGCAAGAGCTGCACGGACACACTGCCTCTGCTGTCTCTTAAAAGATGTCCTGGCAGGACGGGAATCAAGCAGGCGACGACGCGTGCAGCAAGGTCGACGGCATGCTACTGGATAAGCAGTCCTCACAGCGCTGGCGAGCCGGGATGATGATGTCCGTCACCTGCCAGAAACCTCCCAGCATTCTAAGCAGGCCTACTTGCTATTTAGATAGAAGCTAATTTAGAATCTATTTACAACCACCCATTTTACTTTCAGGGAGCTCCCTACGCTGGCCCATGCTGCATGCCCGACAGGTTGGAAATGAAATCCTGTTTCGACGAAATTGCGCTTGGTAACTGGATTGTTTCGCCGTGCCCCGCCCCGCACGCAACTTTCTTGAACCAGGTGCCACGCCAGGAAAGTCGCAAGCGACCTTTGGAACTCTGGTAACAAAGCTCGCACTTTCGTGAACCACGGTAATCGTGAGAAGTACTCAATCGGATCCCGCTTCATTGGAGGTTCAGGTTGAGTATTCCTATAACGAGGATAAACCTGAAAATGTTGGCCCTCCGCGGTTCAGATGGTTCAGTGAAAGTGAAGTCTTGATAATAGACCACTCACCATCACCCTGAAACGTAATATAACTAGTTACAACACAGACCACCGTGAATAATACCTCAATGTATAGAATGCAGGCACCTCAGCACCATCCACCAATCAAGCTCACCCCCTGCTCTGCTTGCTGCCCAAAGGCCAGAAGACACCCACCTACTACTCCTTAGGACAGGCATTTAGAATCCTTTGCATCGTAAGAATCTCTTTCGTTAGGACCAGGAATTACGAGCACGCCCATGCTGTGATGTATTTATCCGCCCGTCGACGGATTCCACTCTCCGCGGAGGATCTCCCGCGCCTTCCGCTCCTGGACCGTCAATTGCGAGTCGCGACTCTCTGCCAGGAATAGATACCGCACATAGCGTCGTCAAATGCTCGGGTAGCGCGACACGAAACCCTAATTTGTCCACACTGAAATCCCAGGTCTCCAACGATAGCAGCAGACATGCCCGTTCCGCGAAACCGTTCCGGCGGCTTCACGCCGAAGTCCGGCAATGCTTCCGCGCCGTCACTCTTCAAATCCTCCTCCGCCTCCTCGGTCCCTTCTCTCTCCGCTCGGCTTTCGTGGAATGACCTCGCTCCGGCGTTGGCGATAGCGCTGCTGCTTGTAGCGGGTATGCTGCTCGCCGTGACGTACATGCGCGCGTCGTCAATGCGGTGCAGTGCGATGCAACTGGAGCAGCACGTGAGAACGCTCAAGGTGAGGATGCTTATAGCGGGTATGGTTCCCGCCGTTACCTGCGGGTGTTATCCGAATACCACGGAGCTGGAACATCACGTGAGCTGCATTTCCTACTTTATCCATTCCCGACCTACTCCTTGTCATTTTCGCTCTTTGCTTCCCATCCGCCTCCGATTCTTCCCTTCCCCCTCACCTCCCAACACATTCCGGTCCCCCGTTCCCCCTTCCCCTTCTCCCTTCCCCCTTCCCCCTTCCCCTGCATCATGTGTGCGCCTGTGGCAGCAGGGAGGATCGCGACAGGGGAGGCAGAGTCTGGTGGAGAGGCAGGTGAGAATCTCGGGCAGGTGAGGAGTTCGGGCAGACGAGGGATTTGGGCAGGTGATCGAGTAAATTTGGGGCAACGATCGGGAAGGAGAGTGAGGCATGCGAACGAATCTACGTGCATGTGGGGTGGTGGGTTGCATGCACAGTGCTGCTGTGGTATGAAGCTGATGGTTATCTATTGCTTCTGAGTTTCCTCGAGCCATGTGTTACCATGTGTCGCCATGTCTTGCCCTGTCTTGCCATGTCTTGCCATGTCTCTTCCACGTGTTGCCATGTGCAGAACGACATTGGCAAGCGAACGGCTGAAACTCTTAAAGAGGCCCTTCATTTGGTTCCTGTAAGTTCACGTCACACATGTGCATGCCATGCCACGTGCATGCCATGACTCCATGTGCATGACGTACCATACCATATGCACACTACACCACACCATACCATACCATACCATACCATACCATACCGCGTGCCTGTCATTCCATATTCCATCTCATGCGAATTGCCAGCCCATGCATATGCGTTCCTTCCTTCCAAAATAATACTTAGGCACCTCAAAACTCACCTCATATACATTCCTTCCGAAGTATTTTTTTGAGAGAGGCTGTTCTTTACTCGAATGAATAATGGGGTGATAGCACCTGCTCGGGTTGATAGCACCTGCTCGGGTTGATAGCACCTGCTGGGGTTGATAGCACCTACCTACTGTCTGCTCGGCTGCAACAAGATTGCTCTCTCGCATTTCATGTCTCCCAGGGATGGCAGGCCAGGCCAGGCCAAGGCAGCACAGGGGAAGAAGCTGCCTTCTGCCTCCTCCGCTGCAGTCGCGGCTGCCACTAGTGCGACAGATGGCTTTGCAGCGTTGAATTGAAGCAGGCGTTTCAGCAGGTTACTCTCTCTGTTGTAACCCCTGTTGTTGTATTGTAATCCCTGTGTGTCAATCCAGGGATGGCAGGCAACGGCAGCAAAGGGGAAAAAGCTGCCTTCTGCTTGGTCCACTGCAGCTGCAGCTGCTGCCACGAGTGCTGCTAGCGGTGGCTTTGCAACTATCAAGCACGCGTTCAAACAGATTGTGCTCTCACGCATGCAGCCTGTGATCATGCGGCAAAAGGTGAGCATGCATCAATTCTCCAGGGCCCGTGATGTCCTTGATTGAATGTTCTCGGAATGTTCAGTGCTTTGAAATTATTCATGGGCATATGGCGAGTCGAGTTTTACTTGACTCGTTTTAACGAGTTTTTTTCCCTTTGACGAGTCGAGTCGAGTTTTACTTGTCAAAATGCTGACTCGAAACTCGGCCCCGAAGTCGAGTTTTTTGAAAACTCGGAGGAGCCTTAAAAAAACTCGTCCGAGTCAAGTAAAACTCGACTCGAATGTAAACACTACCCTAGCCTAAAACCCCAGCCACACGAAAACAGTTGTAGGGTGCCCAGAAAACTGCCACACTCGTACACCCACAAATGACCCAGCCAGCCTCACCTCTCCTCCCCCCTTTCACTTTCCAACCAAGCTACTCACCGCCACGCCAGCTGCACTTGTATTCACAGTTAAGTGGTGGAACAATCCAAAACAGCGAGTCACACCTCCAGCAGCATATTAACCCAGAAACAGACATTTGTACCCCCCCGTGGTGGACCATTTGATGCACGAGTTTATGAAAACTCGTCTAGGTTAAACAAAACTCGTGAATGAAAACAAACTCGCGAGTCATGGAAAACTCGCCTGTCTAGCCGAGTTTTTCTTGAGTTTTTTTTAACTCGCGAGTAAAATCACGAGTTTTTTTTGCGAAAATCAGAACTCGAAACTCGATATTTTCGAGTACCTAAAACGAGTCTTAGTAAAAGCTGGACTCATTTGCCCATGTATATTTGAAATCACTCATTGTTCAAGCAGACGTGTGCCCTCATGCATTCAGCCCACTATAGCGCATCAACCCAATCCAACCCAACCCAACCCAACCCAACCCAACCCAACCCAACCCAACCGCACCATCAGGAGCACCATCGCATGAAAGGAGTGATCAAGAAGGCAGCGCAGAGAGCAGGCAAGTGGGCTGCAGCCATGGGCACCAACAGCTGTTACCCCCTCTATTGATCCCTCCTGCCCGCCCAGTCCCTCTACCAACCTAATCCAAACCAACCCAACCCATCCACACCAACAGGAGCACCATCGCGTGAGAGGGGTGATCAAGAAGGCAGCGCAGCGAGCAGGCAAGTGGGCCGCAGCCATGAGCACCAAGAGCTGCCTTCCCTGCCCTGACTGCTCTCTCCAGCAACAACAGCTGTTGGCACCAAGAGAGCTGCGACCCACTTGATTGATCCACCTGCTCATTACCTCTTTCCGCCCATCCCAACCCAACCCTAGGAGCACCATCACGTGAGGGGGGTGATCAAGAAGGCAGCGCAGCGAGCAGGCAAGTGGGCCACAGCCATGGGGACCAAGAGCTGCCCTTCTTGCCCTGAATGCTCTCTTCTCTCCCGTCTCTCCCGTCTCTTCCTCTCTTGTTTTCTCCAAACCCAACCACACCTAACTGAACCCCATCATCAGGAGCACCACCACGTGAGGGGGGTGATCAAGAAGGCGGCGCAGCGAGCAGGCAAGTGGGCTGCAGCCATGGGCACGAAAAGCTGCCCTCCCTGCCCTGACTGCTCTTTGCAGCAACAACAGCAGCAGCAGTTACTGCAGCAGCTGCAGCAGAAGGGTGGGAAATACGTGGGGCAGCAGCAGCAGCAGCAGCAGCAGCAGGAGGAGGAGGAAGGATTGGCAGAGATTGACTTGCGGTTTCCTTCCGTCTCTTCTGACTCCTCTGGATCTGCTCTTCGCGTCGTCGGACCGCTCTGCACCGCGTCAGGTTTCGTCGACTGCGGCTGCCCGTACGGCGAGTCGGGCAGGGTGGAATTTTCCGGGGGTCTGCCTGGGCAGGAGCGGCAGGAGGGTGAGGAGGGGGAAGGGGAGAAGAAGCCTCTGTGCGTGGATGGGAGTTCTCCGGGCAGATGGACGGGGTTCGACCAATGGGAGGCCGACAACTGTCAGTACAGGTGGGTGGGTTGGGTGTTGGTGCTTGCCCGATGTGTGCTTGATACCAGATTCCATGCTGCCCTGTATTGGTTTGACTTTGAGACGTCTCAAAAATAACCTCATTACACTTGGTTTGACTTTTGAGAATCCTCAAAAGTCAAACCAACATGTTTGATACCAGATTCCATGCTGCCCTGTATTGGTTTGACTTTGAGACGTCTCAAAAATAACCTCGTTACACTTGGTTTGACTTTTGAGAATCCTCAAAAGTCAAACCAACATGTTTGATACCAGATTCCATGCTGCCCTGTATTGGTTTGACTTTGAGACGTCTCAAAAATAACCTCGTTACACTTGGTTTGACTTTTGAGAATCCTCAAAAGTCAAACCAACATGCTTGATACCAGATTCCATGCTGCCCTGTATCCTCACATCCTCCCCTACTTCCCCTTCTCCCTTCCCAGAAACTTCCCTCTCCCAGACCTGCACCAGTGCCTGGGCACCAAGTGGGTGTTTTTGAGACGTCTCAAAAACACCCTCTCTAGACATCCCTCTCCCAGACCTGCACCAGTGCCTGGGCACCAAGTGGGTGTTTTTGAGACGTCTCAAAAACACCCTCTCTAGACATCCCTCTCCCAGATCTGCTCCAGTGCCTGGGCACCAAGTGGATGCATTTCGACGGAAACGACACCTCTTGCCTCAGCACCTCCTCGACTCGACCTGCGTGTTCCCCCTCTCTCCCTTCCTCCCTCTTCCTCAAGCCCTTCCCCCCCCTTCCCCCGCCTTCCCCAGGGACATCTTTCTCCCCGAGCTACACCAGTGCCTGGGCACCAAGTAGGTGCATTCTTTTTAACACAACTCCTCCCGCCTCCCCCCTCCTGGCCCTGCATTTCGCCCTCACGCTTCCCCCCCACCCTCCCCCCTGCTTCTCTTTCTCTTCCACCAGAGACATAACACAACCCGAGCTACACCAGTGCCTGGACACCAAATGGGTGCATTTCTTTGGAGATCACAACTCCCGCCTCCTGGCCCTCCATTTCGCCCGCCTGCTGGGGCTGCAGAGGCAGGGCGGGGAGGGGGAGGACGGGGAGGAGGGGGGAGACGGGGACGGGCCGTTTGGGGGAGGCGGGGGGGGGGAAGGGGAGGGTGGGGCGGGAGGCGAAGGGGGAGAGGGTGGGGAGGGGTTGGGGGAAGGTGGGGGAGAAGGGGAGGGAGCAGGGCCACGAGGGCCTGGGGTGGCAGAGGGAGTGGAGGAGGAAGGGGACAGAGAGGGGGGTGGGGTGGGCGCTGGTGCTGCTGGTGGGGGGGGTAGGGGGCGGGGGGAGGTTACTGCAGATGATGTGGGGGAGGTGGTGAGGCGGAGGAGAAGGCTGGCCTTGAGTATTGAGGCGTCTCAGAAGTCTGTGGTAGGAAAGGGAGGGCGCGAGGAGAGTGAGGAGGGGCTCAAGGAATGGGGAGGGTTCGTGAGCAGTAGCAGCAGCAGCAGCAGCAGCAGCAGCAGCAGCAGCAGCAGCAGCAGCAGCAGCAGCAGCAGCAGCAGCAGCAGCAGCAGCAGCAGCAGCAGCAGCAGCAGCAGCAGCAGCAGCAGCAGCAGCAGCAGCAGCAGCAGCAGCAGCAGCATGAGCAGCAACATCAGCAGCAGCAGCAGCAGGCGGAGGGTACTAGCAGCAGCCACGGAGCTGGGGGGTAGTGGCAGGGGGGGAGGCGGGCCGAGAGTGACGTATCTGTTCCGTGGGAAGATGGCACGGCAGAGACACCCTGAGGTGGGTCACGGCATGTGGGGCTGCTGTTTCTTGAGCTGCTATTTCTTTTCTTAATCTCAGAGCCCACCTGCCACACAAGGAGGCAGGCTGAGAGTGAAGTACCTGTTTAGCGACAAGATGGCACGGCAGAGACACCCTGAGGTGGGTCACGGCATGTGGGGCTGCTGTTTCTTGAGCTGCTATTTCTTTTCTTAATCTCAGAGCCCACCTGCCACACAAGGAGGCAGGCTGAGAGTGAAGTACCTGTTTAGCGACAAGATGTCACGGCAGAGACACCCTGAGGTGGGTCACGGCATGTGGGGCTGCTGTTTCTTGAGCTGCTATTTCTTTTCTAATCTCAGAGCCCACCTGCCACCCAAGGAGGCAGGCTGAGAGTGGGTGCAGGCATGCGGTGTGTGCAGGCATGTGGTGGAGGGAGGGTTGAAGGCATGCTTGTGTTGATTTTGCTACTTCAAGCTTCGTTATCATGTCTTCAAGCTTCCTCGTTTCCGTCTTCCCTTCCACCTCGTCTGTTCTCCCGACATTCCCGGCCGGGCACACCGGAGCAGCGGGATTTGAACGACCAGTTTCTTCACAACATGACAAAAGCAGGCGGGCTGCCAGATTTTATTGTGATGGGCGTGCGGGTGCACGAGGTGGTGGGGTGGGGGAAGAGACCCCCTCCTGATCTTGACTTTGATGCTTTTGTCACGAATGCTCCACTGTTTTCCCCCCCTTCCTGCTTGCTCCCCCGCCCTGCTCCCAACAACTCCTTTTACAGCCGGGCACGCCGGAGCAGCGCGATTTGAACGACCAGTTTCTGCTCAACATGACGACAAAAGCAGGCGGGCGGCCGGATTTTATTGTGATGGGCGTGGGGGTGCATGAGGTGATGGGGTGGGGGAAGCGACCCCCTCCTGACCTCGACTTTGATGCGTTCCGGGATGATACTGAGAAGCTTCTGGACCTGCTGAGGCGGACGTATGGAGGAGGGAAGGTGGTGTGGTGGAAGGCGAATGCCATCTGGCCAGGTGGGTCTCGGGTGGGTTTCAGGTGGGTTTCAGGTGGGTTCCAGGTGGGTTTCAGGATCGGAGAGAAGGTAAGAGAATTGGTTCTTTTTTCAGCGCCTTGAGGGGAGTATTTCCATCCCCAGCGCCTTTTGAGGTGCAGCGCCACCCAAACAAGCATCCATAATTTTCTGCTCTGTCGATGTTTTTTGCTTTCTCTTGTCGGTGTTTCGCATTCCAAGAGGCATCTTATAATACTGTACTGCTATCTCCTGTAACTTTCTCCTTCATTTCATATATGTGCAGGAGCCTTGCTGATGGAGGACTATTTTCAAATGAGGCAATTCCACGCGCTCTATCAGGCACACGCGTACAGAAGGTTCCAGGAAGCTGGTCATACTGTGGCTGACTTCTACCAGACCACAGAGGACAGACCTGAGCTGGTGGTTTCACAGGACGGGACTCGATACAGGGGAGACGTCATCACGTTACATGCAAAGATCATCGCCAATCTCTTGTGCAACCGTCGATGATATCTGGAACCGCGTAGGTGCCTGTGGACTTCCAGGATGGCCAATCTCTTATGCAACCGTCGATAATATATGGCCACGTGGTTTTGAGACGTCTCAAAACTAGATTATCGCTAATCTCTTGCGTAACCGTCGATGATATCTGGCCACGTGGTGGCGGTCTTTGATGAGGCGATTTTTGAGTCGACTCAAAAATCGCCTCTTGTGCCACCGTCGATGATATCTGGCCACGTGGTGGCGGTCTTTCACCGTACCACCGCACAGAGGACAGACCTGAGCTGATGGTTTCACAAGACGGGACTCGATACAGTGCACAGGTTGTAGCATTGATTATTATCGCTAATAGTCTGTGCAACTGTGGATAATGCCTGGCCTTGCCTCTTGAGTTACTCACTACTAGTACAGTTGCACTTGGGTGTGTAATGGCATTTGCGTGTAATAATAAGTGCGGTTCCTTCACATGCCCTCCTCCCTCACCCCCCTTCATTGTTCCCCGTATTGCGTTTATGCCAAGATGGTACCTAATGTCACCTGATTGAGTCGCATCACAATGGCATGGCTGCCATACCATGCCATGCCATGGTGTACCGTGCTATACAGTGCCCTATCATGCAATGACATGCAATACCTGTCAGAATATTGAACGAGAATGAATGCATTGAGCAGAAAGTTGGTACAAGTACTAACCCTAATTGGGTTGTATCCCTTATGGGCTACCCCACTACAGCCTACACAATGAAAGCACTAGAACATTTTGACACACCCCCATAGGCAAAGTGGGGGAGAACAAGTGGTCACAAGACCAGTCAAGAAAAGCAAAGCAAGCTCAGGGTGGATCACGAAGTCACCACACATTCTGAGCACAAGCAAATGGTCACAAGGCCAGTTCACATGCAGAGTTAAATAAAAAAGAACAAATAGTACAGTGATCACACCCTAGCAAGTGTAAGCATGCAGGTCTATATATAGATCACAGTACAAGCAAAGTCACGCAGTGAACGAGGCAAAGTAGGCACAAGGCCTAAAACAGTACAGAAACGGTGATGGTCACCAGACTGTAGTGCCTTGGTGAATATATCAGCAGTGTTGGCCCGAGTGGCCACGTAAGCAAGACGAAGCTGACAACGCTGTTGCAACTCTCGAGAAAGGAAGTAACGAAGAACGATGTGCTTCGTTCTGTGCTCCAGTCAGTGCTCCTGACACAAGGCAATCATGGCCTTATTGTCTACATACAGAAATGGAGAAAAACGAGGCCGCTCTCCCAAGACGGTCAACAGGTAGGCTCAGCACCCCCAGACTCCGCACCATCAGACTCAGCACCCACAGGCTCCGCACCCTCAGGCTCAGCACCCCCAGGCTCCGCACTCGCAGGCTCAGCACCCCCAGACACAGCATCCCTAGACGCAGCACCTCTAGCAACACCTGAGTCTACTGCGACCTCGACAGGCACAGTCCCGGGGAATGGGTCTACCTGAGACACACCTTAGGGAGTAGGAGGTCTCAAGGGGTCTACAGGAGGGGGACCTGGAGCAAGGAAGAGCGGCGGGGGGGGGGGGAGGGGCAGTGCGGTAGGGGAAGAGACGGTAAAAGGGAACCGACTCGTCAAACGTGACATCCAAAGAGGGGAGGACACGGCGCGAGGTGGGGTGGTAAAACTTATAGCCAGGCGCGTCAGGGGGAAAGCCAAGGAAGACGCAGGGAATATCGCGGGAGGAGAGCTTGTCCGCGGAAGTATCGTGGAGAAAGGCACGAGAACCCCGGACCCGGAACACCGACGCATCGCCAACCTTCCTCGTCCAACGCAGTGTAGGCGAGGTCTCCGTCAAGGAGACAAATGGCCAAAGGTTGAGCTGATGCGCAGCGTACCGGACCGCAAATGGCCACAGAAAATGGGGAGCAGCCGCATGGATCATGGAGGTATGAGCCACATCCATGACTAAGCCAATGCGGCACTCAGCAACCCCATTTTGCAGCGGGGAGGCTGGAAAGGTGAACGACTGGAGGATGCCCTCCCCACGACAAAAGTCCCGCAAGAGTTCGGAGGAGAACTCACCACCTCGGTCAGAGTGCAGACGCAGGACAGGAAGGTCCTCGCGGAACCGCTCGCGGAGCTGGAGACGGACTGCGCGGATCCAAGGGATCAAGACATCGGGGACCTCACCCTTGCTGCGCAAGGGGAAGACCATGGTGTAACGCGTGTAGTCGTCAACAACCAGCAGAAAGTAGCGCTCGCGAACCTGTCCACAAACGCGGGCTGGGCCCCACACGTCCATGTGGAGAGTCTGTAGGGGAGCAGTCGTCGGGGGAAACGAGGAGGAGTGAGGAGCGGCACGCTGCCGCCCCTCGACGCAAGGAAGGAAGGGCGGGGCAGGCGAGGGCGGGAGGGGAGGCAGAGACCCGGGAAGACCAGAAACAAGGAGGCGGGAGTGCATGCCACGAAGGCGTGGCAGGGAGGGGTGACCAAGGCGGTGGTGCCACAGGAGAGTGTGGTGCAATAGGAGGCGACACGAGCAGGGGGCTGCTACCGGACCTGACGCGGACACCTGAGCAGCCGCAGCTACCTGAAGAGGCTCGGTAGTGAGTGTGTACAGACTCGAACCAGGCCGACGGGTGAACGTGGCCAGGTGACGGCCCGTCCGTGTACACGTGCAGATCGACACACGCTGACCCCCAGGAGTGGTGGTAGTGACCATCGCATCCTGGAGGCAGCGGTACTCACCAAGTTTGTAGTGAACGAGAGGAGGTGAAGACCTGACAGTGAGCCGGATGGAACCGCCGGACACGGGAGAACAGTGGAGGAATTGGGCCCCCTGAGGGGTCAGCCAGTCGGACCGGAACAGGTGCAGGGAGTGGATTGAGGGTGGTGCTGTCGCGAAAGAAACAGCGGGAAGCACTTGAGTCAAGTGTAAAGGTGTGCAAGGCCTCAGCAAGCGCAGTACCAGGGAGAGAAGACTCACTAGCACCTAGAACAGCAGCCTCTATACCTGGTTCGACGGCACACACAGGTAACAATCACCCTCAGCACTAACAGACAAGGCATACATGGCAGCAAGGATAACATCATAGTCAAGAGCTAAGATATCAACTCCAGACCTAAGCAGCTCTGACCAGCGGGAGCGCTCAGCCTCGTCGCCAAACTCTGCGCGCCAAGCATCGTCAAGGCGGGAGAAGCAGCGGTGCTGAGAGTGAAACTTCCCGAATGTCTGACTAGCACGGTCACCGTGCGAATGACATACGGGTAGTGAACACTACCCCCAGGCGCCCCACGCTGAGCAAACCACCCACGAAGCTGCTGGGGAGAAGGGGTCTCGCTCCGACGCTGCTGCTGCTGCCTCTGGCCACCGCCAGAACCTCCCCTCTTAACAACTCCACCCCGACCGCCACCACTGCCGCCGCCACCACTCCCACTGCCGTCACCACCGCCACCCCCACCGCTGCCACCACCGCCGCCACCAAAGCCCCCACTCCCGCCACCACTCCCACCGCTGCCACCACCTCCGCCACCTCCACCGCCTCCACTGCCTCCATCACCACCACCCCCGCTGCCACCGCTACTACCCTTGCCACCCTTGCCCTTGCTGCTGCGGCGCTTCCCACTAAGAGCAGAAGCAGTCCCGACATCCTCAACACCAAGGATGTCAACAGCAGCAGCAGAAGTGTAGGTGGGGCAAGGGGGGAGGGGGAACACCCCTCAAAGAAGGGTGTGCAAGGAGTGCCACGAGCAGCACCTACGGCGACTACGCTAGTCTCAGCAGCAAGGAGGTGCTTCTCGAGCAGGTCGACAGTGAGGTCGGTGGGGTCAAGAGCGAGAAAGTGGTCCCTGACTGCGCGAAGAGAGTCACGCAGGCGGGTGATCATGAAGTAGAGAGTGATGTACATCGAGGGGGGGAGGGGGGGGGTTCCTGTCTAGGAACTCGGTTGGGAGGGCAGAGCGGTAGCGAGCGTCGCTAGTGCGAAGGTGGGTAACGAGGTCCTCGAGTGTGGCAAAGGCTAACAGCTCAGGAAATAGGTAGGGCAGTAGAAGGCGGCCGAGAGCAGCAGTGGAAGGGGAAGAGTAACGAGCGACTACAGCGTCGTACAAGGCCTTAGCAGTCTTGTGCTGGCCAAAGTGAGTGTGTTCGGCTAACGGCAGGTGGTTGCGAACGACTAAGCAAGCAGCAGCGTCACGGGTAAGCCACAGTGAGCGAGTCCCACTGTCAGGTGTGGCGGCAGGGGCGAGAGAGGCTCTAGACGTGTGGTCAAACAACGAAACGATGTCTCTAGAATCGCTCAGTAGGTACAGCTGTAAGTTGTCGAGCCACGTATCGAACTGGATCGGACGGCCCTCATGATCAAACGTGAGTACACTGAGAGAAGCCATAGCCTGCAAAGCAAGGTGGCGCGCGGCTAGCAGGGCGGCCCGCAGGCAGGGCGGCGCGCGAGCACTAGAGCACTAGAGGAGATCTGGCTGCACCGCCCACCTGGCTTCACTGGGTCGTACTGCTGACACACTGAGGACGACACTTGCGGCTCTTGGGTTTGCTCCTTTGAATGCTGACCCGTCGCTGTTTCTACGCACTGACACTTCGTTGCCGCCATTCTACGTCCTCGTGTACGTCAACGACTTGGTCTTTGCCACTGCTGACACTGAGGCACTGGCCCTTGTGAAGTCGGAGCT